TATCTTAACACGCAAACGGTCGGTCACTTCATAAGAAAAAACGGTCGTTTTCCGTGACCTCTTTGTACACATAGATGAAAAAATTCAATCAACTCAGCTTTTAGTGGTTTTGAACAAGATAGCAGATAAATAGAAGTTATATAAGTGTTAACGGAATATCATAATCAATGGCGCGTGCAATAGACAGCTGCGCGTACCAGTGCCCAACTTTTTCTTGAGCAAATAAAGTAGTCATTATAGATTGAATCCAGCGCTCTATGATTAATTGCCACTCATTTTTAGATGTCTGGAGAGCTATTTAAAGTTCCGCTTTGTTCGAACTATCATAATATACGACTGTATGCTCAATCTTACCTCCAGCAAGTCGATCATTCGTGTCATTTGAGAATAGATAAGAACACGGTGATTTTCAGCTTTCAAGCGGGCCAACAATGCATCAAGTACGCCCAACTTTCCAGAATCTGTTATTAAAGTCTCCTTATCTGTAAAAAAAAGAAAAGAAAGGAGTTGTTGTTAGTGTTCAAAGCCACATTCTTTTTTAATGGACAAGCTAATTCAGTCAACACCCCCTGACTACACGCCTCCCTCATCGACTTTATAGAATTCGTGCATTCAAATCGCCGGCGCCACGCGTCAAAACTGACCGCGGCGTTACTGACAAGACGCTATTGTCACCTATACAGTACTCTATGGTCTAGTTGGCGTCATGAACTTGGTCGCACGCGTGCCAATTCGCCCACTTTTCTATAAAAAACGCCAATTTTTTTTATAGTGGCACGCAAGAAATACTTATATACAGCCAAGAAAATGAAAGTGCCACTCAACCTAGTTCAATTCAATGCTCAAGCAAAAAACACATTAACACATCATTTCTTGGCAGAATGTTATACTGGTGAGCAGAGGAAATGCAAGATTTGGTTTAGAGTAACAAATATAAAAATAGCGAATTGTTACTAACATTACATATAAAGGCTATATACCGAGTATTTGTTACAAAGGAATGAGTTGAAATTACTTAATAATTTATGACATTTTAAGACTAAAAGCGTCTGTTATTTCATAGGGTTTTTCAACCAACACCAGGGGGAGCTTTATACTGATACAGTTATTATCTTTCCATATCTTTAATCAAATCAGTGCCAACTTCATAAAGGAGTCCGTACAAAACTCCAAAACAAAGACACTTTCAAAAAAAAGAATATTAAGCTTGCTCCAAGGCACGTTCCAAGACGCGCACCTTTCTTGACACATGATGTAAAACACACTGTATGGAACTCTACTTGAAACAATTTTCCTTTTGCACTCAATTATCAGATACGCAATGACATTTCATAACTACTTATCATCACAATTGTTTTTTACGCATGTACTAGAAACCGGAAAGGTCAAAGCCTGCAAATTACTATCGAGAAAAACTTGAATGACCAAGCGTCAACACAACAAGCGTGAAATTACGTCACTTGTATGGTCATTTGGAAAGATGACCAACATCTGTTCTTTCCTTAAGGCTATTGACGTACGCTACTGACGTCAGTCAAGTTTCAAACATCCATTACAGGTCGATAAAGCGATGTTGTTGCTATTTTTTGTTTGTAACAGTTACAAATCAAATCCCAAAAACTAATCTGACATAATTTCTAAACTCCCAGGTACCATTCAGTCGTTGACACACGCGCATGACAGCCTATTATAAATTAGAGCGGTTAAAGGTTCTGAACTAATTCCAGAGTCCTTAATTTCTAAACAATTGTACAAATTAAAGAAGTCGATCGGTCTGATCCAATTTCGAACATCTTGGACAAAAGGCTACTCTACAGGATATTTTTTAGATAAATAATATAATAACAGATGAATGGGTCACTTAGTACAACACTTTAATAAGAAAAAGACAATCAAATAATCTTTTTTAATTAAGATTTTACACGATTCATTCTAATATCGATGGTAGTCATGTTTCTTTTTATTGTTGTTTTGTTTCGATTAAAAGTAGGCTAAAGTAGTTCAATATTCAGATAATGACTATAGCGAATTTTCAAGTTGATGTGCGAAAATATTAATGATTTTAAAGGGCTTTTTTTTGATAAGATACACGAATTTGATAAATATAATTTTATAAGGGGAAAGTCCACTGATCTTAATTTAGTTTAAGGGACAAACCGAAACCATCAACATAGAAAATTAAAGTTGTAACAAAAACAGTCTTAACAAGCTAAGAACGCGTGCCACATATTTTCTAATCGTTCATCACACTATAAACAATGCTTCGTAATCTCGTCTAGAAAATAATACACAAACAATCCAAGAACTTATGTAATACCTCTTAACCTCTTAAGCGTAATCTTATTGCAGGTTAAATGATTGAGGCTTAAGTAACATTTGGACCCTTTCCAAAATCATCCCCTCAACAATAAGACAAATTTACAAAACTACTTACCAGGAATAAATACGTGAGAGAACCCGTGAACAGGATTAACAGCTAAAAGGCCCCGAGGTTCTGGTTTAAAAAGATATTGATGGGCAGTTTTCATCTATAAAATTTCAAAACAATGAAACAAAAATTAATAAATTTACTTAGGAATTATAATAATTAAAAAAAAACAGATTGTTTACTTCTTGAGCGAGATTCGTTGATCCGTAAAGTATACAGTCTTTTTCGTCTGTGTGAACAAGTGCTGCCCTCTGTTGTCTCATGAAATTATTGTCTATGCAATATTCTCCACATGAATATGCTGCAACCTGGATAGAAATCAGAATATTAATTGACTTGCTCTAGACAAATGTAAGATAATCTTACTTTTGATATGTTGTTGTACAAAAAGTCAGGGATATCAACTAGTTCTTCGTCCAGTATTTTGGGTTCTCTATGTTTAAATTCAGATATTTCAATATCCTGAGAAACTTCATCAGCTTCATTTGGTAAATTGAGCGATGTATGATTTTTTAACTTGGAGTCATCAGTTGTGCAATCAGCTTCATTCAGTTTAGATTCTTCATCTTCCACAGGAGATACTGAATTTCGTAATCGAATTTTTCGATGAGTGGCAGTCTCTCTCATATAATGCAAAGTAGGAACAGTATGTCCCAAGATAGGTTTAACAGGACTTGTGAAACATAGTTTACTTAAAACTTGACTTTGATTGATGGACGTAGGATTTAAACAAAAATAAGATTCCATCATAAACAATGATCGAGTTGATAAATCAGGGCTTTGCCAGTTAGTCTTATGATTTAAATTTTCGATTTCCCGTTCTCCCTCAACGATACTTCTCCATCTAGTTAGAAATTTTTTTAACAAAATGCTTAATCATACATAAAACAAATATATTCTTAATCGACTAACCTATATGAAATACTGTAAAACATCATTTTATAAAGCTCTGTTGGAGATATATTTACAAATCTTGTAAAACCAAAAGTATTAGATTTTTCAGTTTTATTCGAGGAAAAGATAGACTTGTGAATATTGCCCTCATTATATATAAACAAATTATTGTATAATAGTTTTCTCCTTCCCCACGAAGACGTATCCAATATTCCTTGGATTATAAAACAGATATTAACTATTTAGCTATGAAAGACATTTGTGATCTATAAATACCTTCATTAAAAACGAGTTGAGGGATAACGTAGCTGTCTAGTTGTATGAAAAATGATGACTTGAGCTCTCTCCTCTCGAAGAGTTCTGGATGGTTGCAAACCTAGAGTTTTGTAAAATAAATAGTTCATTTTATGGATGGGTAAAATAATCGATAAAATTTAATTACTTTTCTAAACTGCATAACCAAATTCATCAAGCTAGATGTTGATGATTGTGAGAGTGCCGCTGAGCTTTGCAATAAATCTTCTATACGAATTTTTCTTTTTAAAGCACTGTACAATTTTCTTTGGCGCGTTGTTAAAGGACAGTACGTCAAGACTTCGATCTAAAGGGATTATAAATATAAAAACGTTGCGTTAAAGAATTATTTCTAATTGATCGAGTATAAAATTTGCTTATAAGTTTAAAATTAGTCATCCGTAATAATTGGAGCTTACCTTATCGGACAATTCATTTTCAACATCTTTTTTAACCCTTCGTAACATGAAAGGTTTCAAAATCATATGCAGCCTAGAAAGTTGATCTGTAAAGGAAGGTTTTAAAAAATGAAGTTTATGATTTTTCAAGACATACTTTCATCTATTCCCGACTGTTTTTCAGCATGACTTTCAATGTCTTTTGAAAACCACTCATTAAATTCATCATGGGAATCAAAAAGTGTTGGCATAATGAAATGCAATAGGGCCCATAACTGTTAACAAACATTTTCTGATTAATAAATAGTTTCCTTTAATTTGATAGTTTTACCTCGGCCATACTGTTCTGAATAGGTGTGCCTGTTAATAACAGGCGGTTTCGGCAATTGAATTGTAATAAAATTTTCCAACGAGTGCTGAAAAAATTTACAGAACGTTAGTTTGAGAATTTGAGAGGCTGCTTTTAGACAGCTAATGTAAATTAGAAGTGAAGCTTTCACCTCGCAGTGCTTTTGATGGCCTGAGCCTCATCTAGAACCATATACTGCCATTTTATTCGCTGAAAATATTTTACGTCTTGGATAACAATTTGATAGCTGGTGATAACAATATGAAAAGATGCATCAGGTGTATATAATTTAGCTGAATTCCAAAATGTTCTTAGAACTTTACGATCTTGTGTTGTCCCCCAATAGGGTACAACCTACAAATGTATGAAAAAGAATATTAATATAAAACTCATATTATTATATATGAACTGTTTTCACCTTTAAACGAGGTATAAATCTAGCACATTCCTGTTGCCAATTATGAAGGGTAGACGCCGGTGCAACTACCAGAAATGGTCCCCATGTTCCCTGAGTTTCGCACAATAACGCTAACGTTGCTATGGCCTGTACAGTTTTTCCAAGACCCATTTCGTCAGCTAGGATACCATTTATGCCTTGATCATATAAACTCATCAACCAGTTCATTCCCCTCAGCTGATAAGATTTTAGCTTTCCTTCAAACAATGTAGGTTGCGTATATTCGTCAGAGCATACAGGAACAGCTAGAGCCCCATCTTTATAATGAATATAACTTATATATAATTATTTATTACTTTAAGTAAACACTCACCTCCGCCTGATAATAGCTTAACTTGCTCGTCAAATGATCTGGTCTAAATATGATTTTTTTTGGATAAGTATGGGTTAGTGTAAATAAAAAGACAAAACAAACTTTGGAATGTTGTGCTGCAACTGCTTCTTCAACATTCTGCAGTGCTTGATTTTTAACCATATCACTATCTAAGAAATGAAAGAAATGTTGTGATAAGAAAATCCTTGAAGGTTATAGTATTTTTTCAACTTTACCATAATCATCTGTTAGAAAGCTTTGGATTATCCCTTTAGTTACTGGTATTCCTTCTTTACTCTCTCCATTTTCATCCAACCTACTTAAGATTTCAGTTTGTTTTTCATCCGTATTCTTTTCCTCAGATTTTAACCTATTTTTATTGGCCATAAAATGGGCGTACAATTCAGTTTGGGTTATCAAAAAATTTAATTTTCTTTGTTGACGTTTTGCCTGACACCAAATAGAAATTATAGAGTTTGCTTTATTTCTCAAATGAAACCTTACCTCTCTCATTTCTATATCTATCTTTCTCTGTTCAAGGGCTTCTTTTTCAGCCTTTTTCCTTGCACCTTTCTCAACTTTATCGAAACGTTTCCAAAAAACATTCATTTCTTTGGCCAATCTTCTTGCTCTTACACCAGCATCTTTTGTTAGTTTTTGAGAGGTAAGAGCCATTTTTCTTCTTTCTCTCATACATCCTAGAGAGTGTAATGTAAGTGTCACTATTAAATATTAAATAAAAAATACAATTATTTCACAAACCCTGAGCAAGTTTCTTTAACATTTGCAAGTTTTCTTTCCGCTGATTAATTACTTGCTTTGAAGCTCTTTGAATTTCTTTTTTGGTAATGATAGCCATTGTCTTTCTCCTTAATACTGCTTTTTCGGTGTCATTCATTTTTTTTGATTTACCACTTCTAACAGGAATAGGTTGCTTTTGGGTATTCTCAAAAACAGCAACAGGAACTGGCATTCTGATCTATAGGTAGAGAGCGGTTATACTGTATATAGTGTGAAAAAAAAATTTAGCAGAAAATTATTTACCTCGCCCTCTTCCACTTCATCGTTCATAATTCTCTTCTTTTTTAGAGCCCCTATTGTATATTTAAATAAAGAATATAAGGAATTAATTTATGCAATTGTTGACTATACAATAAATTATAATTACGTTTTCGTTCTAAATTCCGCTTCTCTCTCATTACTTTAGAATCGAAAGATCCAGTTCCATCTCCCTCATAACAATCATTAAAAGATAATAAACCGGAGCTAAAATATGAGTATCTTTTAGGCTGTAAGAGATTTAAGGATAATCATGAGATAGACTTAGTCCATGTAACAATAAAATTTAACTAACGTTCTTAACATTATCATTTAGGACCTTTTTTCGGTGTTTTAAGGTGTATTTTCTGATTTTAATAAGAGTTTTAACTTTTTCTATATTCCATTCATCATCGTCGTCATCTGATGAAGTTTCGGTTAGAAGCATATCCTGAAGTACTTCTCGATCTTCGTCAATTTTACTGAAGTTATACAAACGGATTTTGTCCATTTGACGTTCTATGTTAAAGAAAATAATCAAAAGTTTATAACCAGCAATTATATAGGGTGAATAAGGTACAGTTTTTTTTACCCACCAATTTTACTGATTGACAATCCATTATTGAAAGTTTTTGTTCCAGTATCTGCACTCTCAACACTACAAAAGTCATCCGCACTAGAAGAATCAGATTCTCCTCCACTATTTTATAAAGGCGAAAGAAAAACATTAAATCACATGCTAAATAGACAAAAATCTAATTATTAAAAACCTTGATCGACTTGTGTAATTATCAATGTAAGACAAGAGTGGTTCTAGTCTCAACGCATTTTCTAGCCGTTGTATATGTAAAGGTTTAGCTAAGTAGCCGTGGTCTTGGAGGGCGGCTGGTAATTCCTCGTCCATATCTAAAATAATCAAGTAGTCGATATTTAGCATGAAATATGATTTTTTTGAATATTCCACTACCTTCCATGATCGGAAAACAGCGTTATCCCTTTCATCCGCCAATTATTTTGGGCTGCTTTTGGCCGTTTTCGTCCAACGCTTCCCGTTAAATTTATATGTATTGGAATGGCTGCCGCAATGCGTAGAGGCTGAAGCACACGAACGACTTTTTTGATTCGCCAATTTGTATCGGCCATTTTTGTTACGTCAATTTTTTCCTCAATTTTAAGCTATTTTTTAATACTTTCTAGTAAAGTTAAAAATTATGCACAATTAAAAAAAATATTTTAAAAAGATTTTTTAATTAATATTTCAATGCGAAGCTTCTCTCTCAAGAAACCGGAAGTTGTTGTTGCGGCGATTTGCTGTAGGTTTCATCACCACGTGATAAACTATTTAGGCGGCTGTCAAATTGTTAAATAAACATATAGAAAGGATGATTCCTTTAACGATTAACGAAAAAACCGCATCTGCAGGTAAGTTTTTAATGTCTTTATTTGTCATGTTAAAAAAGTCCTCTTTTCTATTATTAATCAATAGCAGTACTGCTTACTGCCGAACTTGTTAAAGATAAATGCTCTTTGGAAGTGAAAGAGGGTGAAAACACTGAGTTATGCGTCTCCGAGTAATTATTTTTTTGATTCCGATTTATTTAATTAATTAATACTGCTTTTGTTGAAGTAGTTCTACTTTTTCTTCTACGAACTCTATTATACGATATTTGGCAAGAGTCTGTGAGGACCCTAAACTTTATGGAAGTACTCCAATTGAATCAGCTGAGGTTTGTGTAAGGAAAACAACAGTTTATCTATAACTAAACTTTTTGGGCAATCAGGTTGACAATTACTTGGAATACGCTCATGAGCTACTTGAGAACAAGTGTACTGATGAAATTTTGAAAACACTAAATTCTCGACTTGCTTCAAGAGCTTTCCTCGTTGGAAGATCTACAACAATCGCCGATTGTGCCATTTGGGATGCTTTAACAAGTATATATCATATGATTTTTAAGTTGATCAAAAATACGACATAATACTGATGTTTCAGGAAATTTGTCTCTAACTACTGGATTTCCCAACGTCTCTAAATACTTAAAGATGATGATAAAGAAGAAGGTCTTTTCAAATATTGGTAAGATTTATATGCCTATTATAATTATTATCGAAAAGTTACACATAGATTACATCATATTTTATAATCAGTTATAAGGTTATTAATTTATGGATAAAATTCTAGTTATATCAAATATTATAGACCTAACGAAAATGCTAATACAAATTATAACATAACCACTAAATATTTTTTAATATGAATGTATACTATGCTTTGTACGAAGATATTTTGAGACTCAAGATATTTGTTTACTCATAGCCTCGAAGAAAAATATCACCCTTCCTGGTGCGGCTAACAATGAGGTTAAGAAAAACACTTATGAATTAAATATTATTATAAAAAACATATTTTTTATTTAGGGAGCTAAAAAAGAAAGAAAAGGGGAAGAAGGAAAATTTGTCCCTCTTCCGGGAGCAAAGAAGGGAGAAGTTGTTGTTAGATTTCCGCCAGAAGCCAGTGGATATCTTCACATTGGACATGCAAAGGCTGCTCTCTTGAACCAATATTATCAAATCTCATTTGAAGGAAAGTTGATTATGAGATTTGACGATACCAATCCGGCTAAGGAAAGTTCTGAATTTGAGCAAGTTATCCTTGAGGACTTGAAATTACTTGGTATTAAGCCTGATGTTTTCACTCATACCTCTGATCATTTCGATCTAATAAGTGACTTTTGTGTCAAAATGATGAAGGAGGGTAAGGCATACGCAGATGATACCGAACCCGAGGAGATGAAAAAGCAAAGAGAAACTAGAACTGAGTCTAAGAATCGTACTAACAGTTTGGAAAAAAATTTGTCAATGTGGGAGGAAATGAAAAAGGGTTCGAGTTATGGTAAAACTTGCTGTATACGAGCAAAAATTGATATGCAGTCTAATAACGGTTGTTTGAGAGATCCAACAATGTATCGCTGTAAGGAAGAGGCTCATGTTCGCACTGGCACTAAATACAAGGTTTATCCAACCTACGATTTTGCATGTCCTATAGTCGATTCTGTAGAAGGTGTCACTCATGCATTGAGAACTACCGAATATCGTGATCGCGATGCTCAATATGAGTGGTTCCTTAATGCCATGAAGATTCGTAAACCTATTGTGTATGAGTATGCTAGATTAAATCTGCAAAATATAGTTATGTCGAAAAGAAAACTTACGTGGTTTGTAGAAGAAGGTATTGTTGAAGGATGGAATGATCCTAGATTTCCAACTGTTAGAGGAGTTTTACGTCGAGGAATGACTGTAGAGGGTTTGAAACAGTTTGTTATAGCTCAAGGCTCTACCAAATCTGTAAATTTCATGGAGTGGGATAAAATATGGGCATTCAACAAGAAGGTTATAGACCCAATAGTTCCTCGTTATACCGCGCTTTTGAAAGATGATTTAATAAAAGTCAACATCAACGGCGTGACTGAGAACGAAGCAGTAGTTGACGCTCATCCTAAAAATAAGGAAGCTGGAACTAAAACTGTGTTTAGAACTAAAACTGTCCTTATCGAACAGGAGGATGCATTGCGATTCAAAGAGAACGAAAATGTGACGTTCGTCAATTGGGGTAATGTTATGATAAAGTCGATCAAGAAAAGTGGCGATCGCATAGTGTCTGTCGATGGCGATCTCAATCTGGAGGATACAAACTACAAAAAAACTATAAAGATTACATGGCTTCCCCAAACTGAGAAGGAGGAAATAATTCCAATCACTGCTCACCATTACGATCACCTAATAACTAAAGGAGTCTTGGATAAAAACGATGATTTCAAAAATTTTATAAACAGAAACTCGAAGAAAGAAATCCACTTTTTAGGTGAATCAATGATTGGTAAACTAAAAAAAGGGGATATTATTCAAGTCCAAAGAAAGGGATATTACATTGTTGATGTTCCATATGAACCAATGAGCAGACACAGCAGTCGTTGTCAACCAGCAGTTTTGATACTTGTTCCTGAGGGAAACCAGGAAAAACAAGAAGGACAAATCGGTTCAAAAAAAGTTAAAGAAAGCAAAGGAGGAAAAAGTAAAGAAGCAAATCAAGAGAAAAAACAGGCTGCTACAAGTAGTTCTGGCAACGCTGTTGATCTTAATGAAAAAATTTCCTCTCAAGGAAACAAGATTCGCGATTTGAAGAGCAAGAAAGCTGATAAAGGAACAATCGATGCCGAAGTTAAGATTTTACTGGCACTTAAAGCAGAATATAAATCTGCAACCGGAAGCGATTGGAAACCAGGAGCAGCTCCACCAAAAGCTGCTTCTGCTTCAGCTGCTTCAACAGGGGGAGATGCATCAGCTCTAAATGATAAAATCACTGAGCAAGGCAACAAGATTCGTGACTTAAAGAGCAAGAAAGCTGATAAAGGAACAATCGATGCCGAAGTTAAGACTTTACTGGCACTCAAAGCAGAATACAAATCTGCAACCGGAAGCGATTGGAAACCAGGAGCAGCTCCACCAAAAGCTGCTGCTTCGGCTGCTCCGACAGGAGGAAATGCATCAGCTCTAAATGATAAAATCACTGAGCAAGGCAACAAGATTCGTGACTTAAAGAGCAAGAAAGCTGATAAAGGAACAATCGATACTGAAGTTAAGACTTTACTGGCACTTAAAGCAGAATACAAATCTGCAACCGGAAGCGATTGGAAACCAGGAGCAGCTCCACCAAAAGCTGCTTCTGCTTCAGCTGCTTCAACAGGGGGAGATGCATCAGCTCTAAATGATAAAATCACTGAGCAAGGCAACAAGATTCGTGACTTAAAGAGCAAGAAAGCTGATAAAGGAACAATCGATGCCGAAGTTAAGACTTTACTGGCACTCAAAGCAGAATACAAATCTGCAACCGGAAGCGATTGGAAACCAGGAGCAGCTCCACCAAAAGCTGCTGCTTCGGCTGCTCCGACAGGAGGAAATGCATCAGCTCTAAATGATAAAATCACTGAGCAAGGCAACAAGATTCGTGACTTAAAGAGCAAGAAAGCTGATAAAGGAACAATCGATGCCGAAGTTAAGACTTTACTGGCACTCAAAGCAGAATACAAATCTGCAACCGGAAGCGATTGGAAACCAGGAGCAGCTCCACCAAAAGCTGCTGCTTCGGCTGCTCCGACAGGAGGAAATGCATCAGCTCTAAATGATAAAATCACTGAGCAAGGCAACAAGATTCGTGATTTAAAGAGCAAGAAAGCTGATAAAGGAACAATCGATACCGAAGTTAAGACTTTACTGGCACTTAAAGCAGAATATAAATCTGTTACAGGAAATGATTGGAAACCACCAGCACAAAGTTCTTGTGGTAATAAGCCACAAAAGAAAGAAATTAGGAAGGAAAGTGAAAAAAAAGCTGCTACTGGCGCAGGTGAAAGTGGTGGAAAAAAAGTAACTCGTTTGGGACTAGAGGTTGAAAAGGATGATTTATCAGAGTGGTACTCTCAAGTTATTACAAAGTCTGAAATGATTGAATATTATGATGTGTCTGGTTGTTATATTCTTCGCCCATGGGCATTTGGTATTTGGGAATCCATTCAAGCCTCCTTTGATACCTCAATCAAGAAACTAGGTGTTGAAAACTGCTATTTCCCTATGTTTGTATCGAATGCAGCATTACAAAAGGAAAAAGATCACATAGCTGATTTTAGTCCTGAAGTAGCATGGGTAACAAAATGTGGAAGTTCAGAAATGGCAGAGCCAGTAGCAATTCGTCCTACAAGCGAAACTGTTATGTATCCATCATATTCTAGATGGGTTCAGTCTCATAGAGATTTACCTATTAAACTTAACCAATGGTGCAACGTTGTACGATGGGAATTTAAACACCCTCAACCATTTTTGAGAACGCGTGAATTTCTCTGGCAAGAAGGACATACTGCTTATGCTAATAAAGAAGACGCCGTTAAAGAAGTGTATCAAATTCTTGAATTATATGCTGGTATCTACGAGGATCTTTTGGCCATACCTGTTGTCCGAGGGCGAAAGACTGAAAAAGAGAAATTTGCTGGTGGGGATTTCACTACAACAGTTGAAGCCTATGTTCCTGCATCTGGAAGAGCTATACAAGGAGCAACAAGCCATCATTTGGGACAAAACTTTTCGAAAATGTTTAACATTTCTTTCGAAGATCCAGTAACTGGGGAAAAACAATTTGCTTATCAAAATTCTTGGGGTCTTACAACTAGAACTATTGGCGTTTTGGTAATGGTTCATGGAGATAATAAAGGTCTCGTTCTCCCTCCAAGACTTGCCAAATATCAAGCTGTTATAATTCCTTGCGGAGTTACTGCCAGCTTAAAGCCGGCTGAAAAGAAGGATCTGTATGATACCTGTAGCAAACTTACAGATCAGCTGAATGCTTCTGGTATAAGAACTAAGTGCGATTTGAGAGAAAACTACAGCCCAGGCTGGAAGTTTAATAATTGGGAATTGAAGGGTGTTCCCCTACGTATTGAAATAGGACCTAGAGATATGAAAAATAATGAGATTGTTGTAGTACGAAGAGATAATTCCATAAAGGCGACAGTTAGCAATAACGGCGTAGAGAAGAGTTTAGCAAGCTTACTGGAGACCATTCAAAAAGACATGTTCAGCAAAGCTTTTAAAGAAATGTGGAACAACATCACTACAACAAAAAGCTTCGATGAATTCTGTTCAATGCTGGATAGGAAAAAGTTGATAATGTCACCATTTTGTGGTGAAATCGATTGCGAGGATACCATTAAGAAGTTGAGTGCTAGAGAGGCAGTCGTTGAGGAAGGAGCACCAGCAATGGGAGCCAAAGGTTTATGTATTCCCCAACAGCAGCCAGCGGAGGTTCAATCGTCTGACAAATGTATTTGTCCGGGGTGCAACAAAAAACCAAAATTTTATACGATGTTTGGTCGATCGTATTAAGAGCAAGAGATATTCTTCTTCGTCGAAAGTGCTGCTTTAGAAGTGTGACAACCTTATGACTTTTGTTTTTCGTCAATATTACTAAGATATAGGTTTTATATTCAATTTAAGTTTGAATAAAATTAACAAATTGAGGTCCACATCTACTACAATTCTCAGTTGGTTCAAGTCTTTTTATATAATATATTATTTGCAACGCAATCTGCTGAACACCAGAAAAATTCTTTATTGATTATAATCATGAAAACAATTTTTAATTTAGAAAATGGATTAATTAAGAGGATTTACTTGATCAGATTACGGGCGATAGTCCTTTTTAGTAGCATTTTATTGCGGAGAAAAAATCAGTCTAGCAAATAACATTCCGCGCTTTAGATAACCAATCAGCTATTTTAAATTCTCATTACGCAATTCGCTGAAACTTACCCGTGAAAATATTGCATTTACTCTTCTAAATCAGTAAAAAATGCATCAAAAGTTTTTTTCCCAAGCACGTAAATTTAATAAATAATTTCAGATATTTTGTACTTGTTCTTTAATGATAACTAATTTACACGTTAACTTTATATTCTATGTATTTTATAACAAAATTGATCCAATCAGACTCTAAAACATATTTATTTATCTCTACAAAAATTACAGTTATTAAGCCTTGGAAAATTTGTTAATAAACATAACTTACAGTTTTGTTGAAAATAAGCAATTTCGAAGAACATTGTCCGGTTACCAGTGTAACCTTGACCTCTAAGTTTTTCTAACTCTTACAGAATATTAATAATAAATCACAAAAGGTTAAATACATTTATTACTTCATCTTTGCGGATTAAAATATTTTTTAAAATTTCAAAGTCACCGTTATAATCAGAGCTGCCCACCCTTAATAATTTACTGCGAACCTCCTAATTTCACCGCCATTACGTAGAGCTTTCCAATTTGAATACACAACTTACACAAGTATAGTCTATACTTCTGCAATGGCATCAATTTTGCAACTGGAAGAATTTGCATTTATATGTGTTCTAAAAAACTTTAAAAATCTGCAAAAAAATCCATGCTTTCTTCAGTTTATTGAGGACGGAAAACTTTCTCCGGGAATGTTTGAAAGATTATTCAATGGACTCAACAGTTTCTATGCTGGAATACCTGAAGACTTCTTAAAACTATTTACTAAATATAATTATTATTTAAATGAAGTGAGATTCAGTGATGAAAACATGCAAAGTAAAGAATCTCTGAAAATTCTGAAACAAATACATATCCAAAATTTGAACATTGAGTCTCTGAAATTGGTAACGCTTGAGGAACTAATGGATTATGTAAATGAAGATGAATTAAAAGGCCTATCAATTCATGGATGTAGATTTTTACCTGACAAAAAGCTTGTGGAGCAAGTTGAGGGACAAGCAGGAATTTCGTATCCTGAGTTTCTGAAGGATTATCCTTCTCTTAAAAATTTGACAAAATTGAATGTTCAATATACTTGCATGAAAAACATTCAGTTTTTTTTCATTACAAAAGAAATTCGCAGCTTGACAGATGTTAATATTAGCGGTACTTTCATTTCTGATATTCGCCTCTTGAAAAAACAAACCAATCTGCAATATCTTAACTGTTCTGATCTGAAATCCAGCGCTAAAAAGCATTTTATTCATCTGCATTGTCTGAAGAAACTTGAGCGTCTAAGGTTTGGCAATTGGTCTATGTACAAGCGTGGAGGAAGAATTTCTTGGTCAAACGAGATCAATTTACAAATTGCAAAGTTTTTGACCAGAGAAGAAAAAGTAGAATACATTGCAGTTCCAGAGCGATTTCGATCAAAGCATAGTTGGGATATTTCTGAATTTCTAACTTTAGCTGGTTGGAAAAATTTGAAATTTTTTGACTTGGTAGGAGATTGGGAACCCTCCTCGTCAAGTGTTCTGTAAATTACAAATAATATATTTAACTTGAATAATTTATAATCGCTTGTTCTTTCACAGAAAATTTATTACCAATCATAGTAAACTAAAATATTTCGGGATACCATCAACATTGGATAGCGTTTCAATTAACTCCGATATAAGAAGAAACATTTCTGATTATGGTGTAAGTTTAAATAGATTTTTTACGAAAAAGAAACCATTGAAAAATTTTTTTCAATATCTTAGGACATTCGCCGTTATGAAAGGATCCATGGAAGAAATGAAATGTCACTTTTGATATTATATGATGAGGAGGGCCACCCTGTCCATAATTGTGAACTAAGAGACGCTTACGATGCTAATGCATTTGTATTTGACAATTATGGAAATATTGCTATTCCTGATTTAGAGAAGTTTAAAAATAATTATTCCAGCGAAAAGAATTTAGAGCTTTGTGAAGTAGATTCTTTGTTTTTTCACGTAAACGTATATTTACATTTATCTCTTTCTCTTAATAGCAACTAGCAGAGGAATTGTTATTTGAAAAATACATTTACTTTGGTTCTAAACTTATTTTTGGTGAAGCATGTCTAAAAATTCTCTGTTTGGATATTATGAAATCAGAACACTTTTTGACAATAATTGAGCTGATTGCTGAAACATATTTACATAGATATAACTATTTGACTGAACCTATAGATTTTTTATTTATAGTAGTTCTTGAAAAATATAACAGCTATTTCAAAATGGTTAGTAAAATAAGATAAGTTTTTATAAGGATTTAATAATTATTGATTTATTTTTTAATTTTCCAAAGGTATCGAACGTTAGCCTAATCTATCGGAGGATATTTACGGCACCTGAATCATACGGAACTTTTCAATCCTATTATAGTCTTATTTACTATTTAACAAGCTTTCTTAGTCAATTAGACTTTGCTAAAGTAAGTAATTTGAATGATGAAGAAAAATAAAGATATAAAATAAATAAATTCCAGATATCAAAGGAAGAATTAGTTGGCCTTTGTGGAGGAATGAAAAGGATACAGTTTTGGAAGAGAATAGATCAATGTGAAAAATTATACAAACGGTTTTATATTATATTAATAAATATACTTAATGCCTGCAAAGAAAGATTTGGGTGGAATATGAGAAATTTGCCAAAATACTTTGATCCACTCATAAGAAAATCATCAGATAGATATTTTAATCAGCGTTTACACCAACAAATAGCCAAGTATAATAACTACGATGAACATGAATTCGATGAAGAGAGCCCATCTGAAAGTGAAGATTCTATTGATTTTCTGTTAAACTTATTTTAGATAAACGCTTAAAGTATATGAAAATATAGTTTCATTTTTTATAACGAAAAAGTGTTTTTTAGTATCTTAACTTAGTATATATAGTTTCTCTTTACATCTTTCACGACTAAACGATACTTTAATGATCGTACTTTATCAAAATACCATAAAAGTTACTTTATTAAGTATTGTACTACATAATACCCCATGTTTATATTGCTCTTTCTATTTACACATTCTATGGAAAAAATAAAAGATCACGATGAGTCGACGACTTCATTTTGAAAGTACTTCAATGGTGTCAAACTTTCAAAAAGGTAAAATATTCTTTTTTCTCATAATTATTTAAGAGATATGCAAATTAGTATGGAATATACATTAAATATTAAAAGCTGTATATTTCTACCGAAAAATAAAGTTTGAAAAATTTAACCATTAAAAACCAGTTTACAGTACTGCCATCTAAAATTCGGATACAGTTTTTCTTGTACAATTAATAACAAAGAATAGGTAAAAAGGCAAATTATACAATTAATATACGATTAATATATTCTGCATCTAGCAGTAAAATAAAAAATTAATTTTAAGATACTTTTTTATATTTTTTTAAGAGAAAAAAATTTTTTTAAACGGAAATGTCAACGGTAAATATTCAATTACAGGACCAGACTATTCTATTGATAGAACGTTCTTCATATAGAAGTTTGGTGTTTCGCAATGCCGTTGGTTCTAAGATTTGAAGATCAGGTGTTTTACTACATTCTAAGAAATTTTAGGAGTCTGATGAAGAATTTATCTTTTCTTCGTTTGATTAAAAATAAGACAATTCCACCTTCAATGTGCGATAGAATATTTAACGGACTAAATATTTTTTATGCTGGAATTCCTGGAGATTTCTTAGAAATGTTCACCGTTGATAAAATACAATTAACTCATATAAGATTTGGCGATCAAAATATCAAGAATAAAAATTTCATGAAATTTTTAATAGATCAAAAGCTCCAAAATCTTACTATTGAACCTCAGAAAATAATGGCGGTTGAAGAATTGTTGGGGTTAATAGACAGCGAACATTTAGAACAATTCGCTGCTCATTATTGTGAATTTTTACCGATGAACAAATTATGCAAAGAAAATCGAAAGAGACAACTAAAACATACGCGAAAGAAGAGTTTTGTATTTTCATGGCCATTTCCTCCACTACGAAATTTAACTGTTTTAAATGTTTCGGAATCTCCGGTAGACAATCTTCAATTTTTTTTTATTACTAAAGAGTCTCAGCATTTGGTAGATGTTAATATTTCTGCCACAAGTATTACTGACCTTCGACTCTTGAAAAAGCAAACAAAACTCCAATATCTCGATTGTTCTGGAATGAATTCTTCAATAGAAAAGAGTTATATTTATCTCCATTGTCTAAAAAATTTAAAATGTCTTACTTTTGGACAGTACTTTCCAAATAAATCAAAATTCAGGTTAACGTGGTTGAAAGAAGTCAATCCAGTGATACAGAAATATCTTACTGTAGAAGAATTAGAAGCCTATAGAGAAGTTCCTCAGCAATTTAAAACAAAGCGTAGTTGGAATATATCGCAATTCTTAAGACTTGCTCATTGGAAAGATATAACTTTTTTTGAGCTAATAGGAAAATGGAATCCCTCTCCGAGTAGCGTTAGGTAGGCAACATCTAATTCCATAAAATTTTATAAAAAGTACATTTCATACTATCTCTGTCCAGTGAATTCATTAACAATCATCCTAAGCTTGAATTTATAAGCTTATCAAAAAATTTTCCAGAATGTTTAAATACAAGTTTAAAAGTCAAAAAGAAAAAGATGAAAGACATATTTGTGAGTATGAAAGTATTCTCTAAGATTTTTTATTGAACTAAATTTTTAACCTCTTTAAACATATAGAATATTCATAACTACGAAAAAGTGTATGGCAGGAATGATATGTCGTTTAGAATCATCCACGATGACGATTCTTTTCCTATTGATCGTCTAAATATTGATGATATCGATATTATGTACCATTCAATAGATTTCCATGATGAAATTGTGCTTCCAAAAGTAAATGAGTATAAAAAGAACTTTCCAAGAGAAAGACGGGAGGAATTTTGTCAAGTATCTAAATTATTATGTTTTTCATGTTTCTAATTTAACTTAATTTATTTCTTATCAAACAGTACCTTGCAAAAGAGTTAACTTTTGAGAAGTTCAGCTTTTCTGGTATTGAAAATCTTTTGAGCGATGAATGTCTATTAATTTACTGCCTTGATATTGAAAAGTCTGATCATTTTTTGACGATTATTACTCTGATAGCGGAAAAGTTTTTACAAGCTTATTCTTATATATCCAGTCCATTGGGATATATCTTCTTTGAAGTTCTTACGAAATATCATCAATATTTCAAAATGGTTTGTAAAATGATGCAGATACTTGAGAGTGATTTAATATATCTTATTTTCCTAAGACAACTAACATCAGCCTTGTTTATAGGAAGCTATTTGAGGATCCTGATTTATATTTTTACGATTTTGCATATCAAGATCTGATGAGATGTTTAATAAAATTTATTGATCATTTAGATCTTGATAAGGTGAGCAACTTACGACTTCGTTAAAACTACTGATAACTTGTATATTTTAGATGTCCGGAAAGGATCTAGCTGGTCTTTGCAGAGGTATAAGGGACATAAAGAAATGGTCCAGAACAGAGTTGTTCAATGACTTTATTCCTAAACTTCACGATACACTGCAAAAAGTTATTAAGCACTGTAAGAACAAGTTCGGATGGGATATGACAAAAGTAGAAAAAAGTATTGACTACATAACAGCATATTGCACTTCGGGAGCTATTCCTGAGCATGATGACGAGATGACTGATGATGATGATGATGATGATGAAGCTATTTTAAATACCACTATGTGCACCACTGATAGTGACGATTGGGATGTAATTGAGACGAATTGAATATAGAAAATATATTTGTTTGTATGTTAAATGTTCATATAAGTTTTTATTTAAGGAATAGTAATTTTACCAGATAACATCTGCTGATGATTCTACACGTGTGTTTAAATCTATTATAGTGCCAAAAACAATTTTTCTTTTAAGGTAATGACTGTGGTATTTGATAACATTTTTAAATATTTTATTTCTAAATACTATCTTATTTAATTCAATTCTATTTGTTGAATTTCATTGTCATCGGAAGGTCATACACGTAACAAAATAGTTCGAACTACTTTAATTATTTTTTGAGCCATTGCGCATAGTCCTATAAGCTGAATATACGATTTAAACCAAAACTCAATGGAGTAGGTATAATCTGCACACTGGAAAATTAAGTTGTTTATTGCATTTCAAGACTAGGCGGAATTATTATCTCTGAAGTAGATTCTTTGAATAATTGAATAATTTTTAACAGGAATAAGTAAAATATTTATTTTTGTAATATGGAAAAGTCCATGTATATCCTAGTTTTCAAAAATATCTAATAACACAAATTAAATTTACTTGAAACTCCCTGATAGTTTAGTCCCTGCACGAATATTCCTACGCAAGAACGTTAAATAGTTCCACTTTGGTTATTTTTTGTATTAGGAAAAATGGCTATGTTAACACTAGAAGACGAGGCATTTGTTTGCCTTCTACGAAACTTTAAAGACTTGCAGAATAATCATACATTTCTTCAGCTCATTAAAAGTAGAAAAACTCCAGTATTCTTCTGCAATAAAATATTCAACGGATTAAATAATTTTTACGGTGGAATGCCAGAATCATTCCTTTCTTCATTCTCTAAAGATAATTTTCAGTTAAGTGATGTAAACTTCGGTGATCAGAATATTAAAGATAAGAAATCCTTCGAATTTTTAAAAGATCATAATATACAAAATTTGAGTGTTGAATTGGTTGGAGAGATATCAGCTGAAGAATTTATTACTTTCATTAACTGTGAAAGTTTAAAGAGATTTTCGGTAAGCGCAAATAATTTTTTCCGCGATCCAGACGTTAGTGAAAAAAAACGAAATAGGAAAAGAAAACGTAAGAGCTTTCCCGTCAAGCCTGAATTCATACGGAGTTCACCTCCATTTCGAAACTTAACAGCACTAAATATACCTCATGCATTGGTAAATAATATTCAGTTTTATCATATTACACGGGAAGTATTGCAGTTGGAATTATTAAACATCTCTGGGACACTTATAACGGATATACGTCTTTTGAAACGGCATAAAAATATGTACCATCTCGATTGTTCTGAACTGCAGGAAAGTTGCTATAAGCATTACATTCATCTTCATTCCTTGAAGAAATTGCAACATTTATATTTGGGTAATTCAACTAAAAAAACAATTGACTTATCTTTTGGTTGGTCAGACAATATATGTGCATCATTATGCAGTCTTCTCAGCGAAAATGAACTTGAAGAGTATAAGGAGGTTCCTATCCAATTTCGTTCAAAAAACAATTGGGATATTTCAAGTTTCTTAGAGTTAGCCGATTGGAAAGATCTGACAATTTTTGCTATACTAGGAAAATGGAATCCCTCAAACAAAAGTATTTGGTAATCTATAAATTTTCTAAATGTTTATCCTCAATAACTAAGAGATTTTTATTTTGATAGCAATTTCGTTAAGAATCATCCTAGGCTGGGATATTGTCAGTTTATAGATCAGTCAACGTCCTTTCTTGAATCAGATAATGCAGACGTTGACGTTCTTGCACGATTAAGTGTAGGTTATATACTTTTTATAATAAAAATATTGTTTAATGGTTGTATCTTTTCTATAGGATCTACATAGCTATGAAAGAGTTTATGGAAGGAATGATATCTCATTCAAAATTACTAATGCTATTGGCTTTTTGCCCGACAGTATCCTGTCAATAGAAAAAGATAATGAACTTCAGGATGATTTTCACGAAGCTTTTATAGAACCAAAGGTAGATGAATATATAAAAGAGTTTTCTAAAGAAAATCATTGGCAACTTAGTAGAGTAAGTATAGTATTCCTCTTTTTTATTGCTCAAATTATCAGTTACTCATCCTAGCTCCTACTTGACAAATTGGAATTTGAAAAATTTAGTAACTTTTATTCAGAAAGTGGTTTTGGCCAAACTTGCCTTAATATTCTTTCTGTAGATATAGAAAACTCAGACTGTTTCTTTCAAATCATTCAAGTGATTGCTGAAACGTTTTTAAAAAGATTCTTTTATATTTGCTGTCCGATTGATTATCTCTTTTTGGAAATTCTAGAAAAATATCACAAATACTTCAAAAAGGTTTTAGCAAAAATTCCTCATCAACTTCCATTAATTCTTTCTATTTTTTTTAAAGGCAACAAACATTTGTCTTATTTACAAGAGAATATTTGTTAGACCTGATTTAATCGACTATACTTTTGGATACTATAGTCTTATTAAAGGTTTAACGAAATTCCTGGAAAATTTGGATTATGAAAATGTCGGTAATTTTTATTTTGAAAACAGAAGAATAAAATAACTTTACCACTTACTTTAGATGTCAGAGATAGAAATGTACAGTCTATGCAAAGGTACTAAAAGAATAAAGCACTGGAAACAATGGAATGAATGCGAAGCGATAACCCAGAACCTTTATGTTGCTATATTAGCAATTATAAATTATTGCAATAAAAAATTTGGCTGGGATATGAAAAATATTGTAAAGAGTATTAGACCACTTCGCAGACGATTTGACAGCGAATGCTGTGGTCTTTGCGAGTACTTTTCAGATGATGATGAGGATAGCGTAAGAAAAAATAGTTTGTTTAGTTACGAGACAGCTTCAGAGAGTGAGTAGCATCTAAAAGATACGAATAAGATGTATGAATATAAGTTTAGATTGTCTAATCAGTTGAAATAAATAGAAATTTTTACATTTTCTTATAATTTTATAGATTTATTTTCATACATTTAGATACATATGAACAATCTAAATCATTCAATTTGAAAAATATATACAGTATATATATATGTTTATTCTAAAGCAATGACGTTGAATAAAAGTTGTTTATACATACGATTCATTTCATATTTGGCGCTTTGTGTAAAAAACAATTTGTCAACTCTAAAAGATACATAACTCAACTTTTTTCGTCATCTCTTTTTTGGGCAATTCTTAGGTTGCACTATAGTTTTACATAACAATTAGATAACAATGACGGAGCGAGTATCGGTAATCTACTTACGATCAGAGCTACTTTAGAAGTTTTATTCATTTATTACTTAACTGTAAAGTAAAGTTTGCTCATTATAATTGAAGTTTTCCTTATTTCTTTAGTTTTAAATGATAACGAGCAACCTTCGAATTGCCTCAAAAGCGAAAGAAAAATAGTTGGTTAATATATCCTCTAGTGTGCCCCAATATCTATTGCCCAGTTAATTTATACTTCCGCTTCCGCAATACTATTTGAAGGAATATCAACGTAAAAAACAACAAATTTGTATGTTATAAGAGTAAGCTTAATTAATTAAAATTGTTCAAATCAAATATTTGAAATATTTCTTTTAGCTACATCGTTTATTTTTGTTATTCAAGGCTTAATCAACTCGTTTCGTTAGTAAATATTATTTACTGGCCATTGAATTTAGCCTAATATGTTGCGCCTTTTTCAGGATGGCCATAATCCTGAGACTTGAAGACCAAGTCTTTTATTACATTTTAAGAAATTTTGGTTATCTAAAAGATAAAACCATATTTCTCAAATTGTTTAAATTGAAAAATATCTCACCAATGATGTGTGAAAAAATATTTAATGGACTGAATACTTTTTATGCTGGAATGCCAAGGAATATCTTCGAAGCTTTCACTACTAAGAGTATTCCTTTAAAGAATGTAATTCTATGTGACGAAAATCTTGATCATAAAACTTGTAGAAAGTTCTTAAAGAGGCATAAATTTCAAAGTTTAAAAATTCAATTGCTGAAGCATATTTCAGTGGAAGAGTTAGTTGAACTAGTGGACAATAATGAATTAAGAGTATTGGGTATTCATAATTGCTCATATATACAAAAAAGTGAGCTGAATTCTAATTTGAAAGGGAAGAAAGATATTGTTGAAAAGTTAAATCTTAGATTTTTGAAGAATCCACCTCAGCTAAGAAATTTAACTGTATTAAATATATCAAATACAAGCATTGATGATATTCATTTTTATTGCCTTACAAGAGAAGTATATCATTTAGAAGATGTGAATATAGCTGAAACTCATATTACAGACCTAAGACTGTTAAAAAAACAAGAAAATCTTCAATATCTCGATTGTACCGAATTGAGTTCTGATGTTGGTAATAGCTATATTCATTTACATTGTCTTACGAGACTAAAACGATTGAGATTCGGCAATGCTAATCAAGCAAAAACCAATCTAAAATTGGCTTGGTCACATGAAATCCATCCGTTAATTATGAGCTATTTAAATGAAAACCAAATAAAGCAGTATAAAGGAGTTCCCGATCAATTTCGTTCGAAATGTAACTGGGATATTTCAGCTTTCCTAGAATTAGCAGACTGGAAAGATTTATTGTTTTTTGACCTATGCGGATCTTGGGCACCATCTCCAAAAAGCGTATGGTAGATCATTTACAATTGTTCATTAAGTAAACTAAATTAGTATGTAAATGGTATTTTAATTTTCTATAGTGATTTCATCCAGAGACATGGTGAACTTCGATTTATAAAGCTGTCTGAAGACTTTCCAGATATTCTATATAGGTCTATAGATTTCTATAGAACTCTCAAGGATCTATTTGTAAGTTGAACAGTTAATCAGAACAGTATTCTTTATTGATTTAATAATAAAAATATTTAGGATATACATCACTATGAAAGGATCTATGGAAGAAATGAGATGTCGTTTCGAATTCTGTTCGACGATCAAACTTATCCGGTTGATCCTTTCGAGGTTGAAGGAGCCGGTAGTGCTTTTGATGACTTTCCTACAGATTATCACGAAACTGTTGTTATTCCAAAAATAATTGAATTTAGAGAGAGCTTTCCAAAGAAGAGTCGGCTGGAATTATGTCAAGTAAGATATTCAATTGGCGTTATTAACACCAATAACTAATTATAAGCTTTATTAGTATTTAACAGATGAGATGATGCTCGAAAAGTTTAATTCAGACTATTCGGAGTATCCTTTGGGTGAAAAGTGCCTACAAATTCTTTGTATGAATATTGAAAGATCGAGCCATTTCTTAACATTAATAACGTCGATTGCCGAAAAATTCTTGCAAAAATCATCGTATATTGGCGGTCCAATAGATTATACGTTTATAGATGTTCTAACTAAATATCATAGATACTTTAGACTGGTTTGTAGTATTATTACTTAATTAATTTTTATTCACTATTTCATTAATAAAAGGTTACGAATATAAAAGAAATTTATGAGAGACTCTTTACTGAGCCTGATACGCATGTTTACGGTTATGGATATTATTGTCTTATTAAAAGTTTAATATGTTTTCTTGAAGAGTTGAATATTAAAGAAGTATATTAATCTTATTTACAAATAATTGTTATCATAATATTCTAAAAATATCGATTTCAGATGCCAAAAGATGAGCTTCGCAGTTTGTGTAAAGGTATCAACAAGACTAAATCGTGGAAACAGTGGGCTGAATGTCAAGAATTAAGCGAGAGACTCCACTTTCTTATCATCAACATTATTAGTTTTTGTAAGAAACTCGGTTGGAATATGAAACAGTTAGAGAAGAATATTAAGCCGCTTACACGAAAATTTGAAAAGAGAGGTTCTTTCTATGTTCAATATTATCCGGGTGAAGAACGTGGTTTGGATGAAGAAATTGAGTCCGATGAAGAATGTGAAACTTACACTGATAACGAAGATTGGGATGTGCATAAATAACTTTTGTTAAAGTAATAGTAATAATATTAATAATTGTAATGATATAAATATTGATTATTGACAGAATTAATAAATAACTAGCACGAAAATAATAAAAATTTAGAAAATTTGTATTGTTTATTAGTATCTTAATCTAATTACAAAAAATACTAAAATATGCAGTACATATGTAAACAAATTAATATTTTATGTTTTTCTTAATTTATGGCATTTTTCAACGTTTTAGCCAAATTTTTTTGGATATAAAACTTCAAAACCGTATTTTACCTTTTTATCGGAAATGACTACACTTAAAAGTTTAGTCCGGAACTAGTTATTCCCGCCATTACGTAGTAGTCCTTCGTCATTGTTTACTGCTTAACAAAAGTTGGTTATGGATGCCATGTTATCTTTAGAAGATTTGGTTTTTTACTGCATAATTAGAAACTTTGAAGACTTGAAAGATAATCCTTTTTTCTTGAAACGCCTACGGCAAAAAATCATTCCGCCAGCTATCTGTAACAAATTGTTTAACGGATTGAATAGCTTTTATGGAGGAATTCCAGAAGTTTTCGTTGAAGCTTTTACCTCCAATAATTTTCAATTAAACAGTGTAACGTTTAGTGATAGAAATATTGATGATGAAAAATGCATTGAAATTTTCAAAGATCACGAGATTAAGCATCTTAATCTGTTTCAATTGGGTTTGTTAACTGTGGAAGATTTTTTTGAATTTGTTGATTTTCAAAAATTAGAATCTTTATCGATTAATTACTGTCAAGCTTTATCATGCAAGCAATCGTTTACAAAACCAAGAAAGACTGAAACAGATGAACAGCCTGATACATCGTTCGTGAATTTTCTGGTAAAGTCTCCTCCTCTACACAACCTGACAAAATTAGACGTATCAAATACAAAGATAAAAGATATTCAATTTTACTTCATTACTAGAAAAGCTGAATTTTTGGAGGATATTAATATATCTGATACATATATAACTGATCTTCGATTGTTGAAAAAACAATCAAATCTTCAATATCTAGATTGTTCACAACTCAGCAGACTTGCAAGCCGCCAATACATACATCTTCATTGTTTGACGAAATTGAAACAATTGCGTTTTGGTTTCCATTCAAAGAAAATAGCAAAACTTCGATTGGGTTGGAATACTGAAATTAATCCTCTTTACAAAGATTTAATTAGTAAAGATGATTTAGAAGATTTTATTAGCGTTCCTGACGCATTCAAATGCAGACAATTTTGGAATATTTCAGAGTTTTTAGTATTGGCTGACTGGAAAGATTTGACCTTTTTCGATTTAGTTGGAAGATTTGAACCTTCTGATAAAAGTATTTGGTAAGAATCATTAGATTAATTAAAATTACAAGTGTTTAATAGAATTAATGTTTTTTTAGCCACTTTATAAGACAGCATGATAAACTGCTATATTTTGGGACACGTTACGATGAGTTAGATATTGACCGGCTGTCTTTGGAAACTAATAGAAATTTAAGAAAGTTAATGGTATGTCAACAACAAACAATTGTAATAAGGAATTAATATATTCTTTTTGTATTACTATATTAGGATATTAATTACTATGAGAGAAAGTTGAGCAGAAGCGAAATGTCATTTAGGGCATTGTATTCGAATTATACTCCATCGAAAAATCCGTTCAAACTATCGTATTTTGAACACGATATGGAAACAACCGAAATTGTTTTTAAGCATGTTGTAATCCGTAAAGTGAATGAATACAAGCAGAACATTCCTAAATTGAAGAACTTGAGACTCTGTCAAGTAAATCGTATTAATTAATTTTAATCTATTTATCCCTTATTTAATATTCATATTTTTATAGATACTTGCTGATGAACTTGTCCATTCGAATCGTTACCTAAGTTCTTTGAACTTTGACCTAGGTAACGCATGCTTAAAAATTCTTTGCTTGGATATTGACAAATCAGAGTATTTTTTTACAATACTTTCGCAAATTGCTCAGATATTCTTACGCAAAGATTTCCGTTTTGCAAGCTCCATACATTTTACTTTTATAGAAGTTTTGGCAAAGTATAAAAAATCTTTCAGAACGGTTTGTACAATTGATCTTTTTTTGCTTATTCAGCTCATTTGTTGATTATATATTTAGGTAACAAACATCAACTATATTTATAAGAAAATATTCAAAATTCCATGTTTGAAGAACAATGAAGGATATTATCTTTATTATAGTTTCTTTGCGTTTATAAAAAGTTTGATCAAGTTTCTCGAAGATATGGATATTGAAAGTGTAAGCGGAATTTGGGAAGAGGGAAAGAGAATAATTTTGAATAATAAACATCTTCTTTTCAGATGTCGCCAAAGGAATTAAAATATCTTTGCTTAGGTATGAAGAATATAGCGAAATGGAGAGAGTGGGAGGGATGCGAAGATCTTATTAGGAGACTTCGCACTGTTGTTTCCAAGATATACAACTATTGCTCACAGAAATTTAATTGGAATATATCATCCTTAAACTATGAATCAACCCCATTTAAACGAAAGTTTATTCTTAGGGGTATTCAACAGTGGACAACCGAAAGTGGAGAAGAGTACGATGATGAATTCTCATGTCTGGAGCAAAGTTCTAGTGAAGATGATGACTGGAGCACGGAAAAGTAATTTGTCGTTTACATTCAATATTATAGTGTATTATTTTATTGTTTTGAATTATATTTTGAAATTAATTGTGTCATATTGATCAGTTTTCCATTGTAGGTTGTAGACGTATTATGCAATTAATTCAATTTTTCTATTCAAAATTTATAAAATTTTCTCAAATATCATAAATAAACAACATTTTAGATATTCTAATGTTACTTTACGCAAAAAATATTCATTTTTTCATTCTATTCAGCACTTTTCTTTTCTTTTTTAGGAAATTTCCTTTATTATCAACTATTTTCTATTGTTGTTGAGCAATAAATGCTTAATTTATTAAAATATTTCACAGATAATAATTAATATTTAAAAAGTTGAACAACAGCCATTTTGTTTAACGAGATTTTTCGAAAACTTCGTCACAACTTTCAAGGATTCTTCCGAGAATCCAAAAAATTTATCTGCATCAAAAACAATATATAAATATTTTATTTAAAAAGATAGAAAGGAAAATAAAATATTAATAATTTATAGAATGTTCGGTAATTTTAAGTGAACTTTTTCTGTTGAGTACTTTACATCACTAATGCCACCTATTTAAAAAAAGTTCCAGTTGTTGTCTAAAGTTTTATATATAGATATATGTTTTTTTTGCATTAATAAATTAAGTATAAATACATTTTTTTAATTTATAAAAAGTTAACAAAATAATAGAATTTAATTATTTATGTATCTTTTGTATTGTTTTATTGTAATATTATCTAATTAGCGGTTTTGATCGGAAAAGACTACACCTAACATTTTAGTCCGCGACACCTACGAATCAAGGCACTTTTTTAGAACACGTCATGAGGTATGTATTAATTACCTAAAACATGCGGGCTATATTTAGACTCGAGGATCAAGCGTTTCATCATGTTATGAAACAATTGGATAATTATAAAGATGAATACTCGTATATTGAATATTTGAAGAATAGAAAAGTTCCTCCAGTAATCTGTGATAGATTATTTAATGAACTCAATGGTTTCTATGCTGGCTTACCTGATGATGTCATAAAAGTATTTGCCAATGATGATTTTCCACTAAACAATATTAGATTTGGTGATACTAACTTTAGAAATGACGCGTCAATTGAATTTCTAAAATGTCATAAGCTCAGAGGTCTAACTATAGAGAATCTCGAGTTGACAACAATTGAAGAATTATTGGATCTTATAAATTGCGAAGAATTGAAGACGTTGTCATTTCATCATTGTAGGTTTTTGTCAAGAAATCAGTTATATACCGAAGTTCGGAAGAGGAAGAGGAAACGAACGTTAAAGTTGGATTTTGAGTTTTTGAGGGGTTTTCCACCATTACGAAACTTAACAAAATTAAATGTATCGAACACTGAGATAAATGATGTTCAGTTTTTTTTCATTACCAGAGAAGTTCATCAATTTGAAGATGTGAATATCAGTGAAACGTCTATCACTGATATTCGCCTATTAAAAAGACATGTCAACCTTGAACATCTAGACTGTACTGAGCTTATAGATAACGCTTGTAAAAGTTATATCCATCTTCATTGTTTCGTCAAATTAAAGAGACTGAGATTTGGTAATTCTTCCTCAAAAATAAAAAAACTACAAATGACATTGATAAATCAAATTAATCCTCTAATTAAAAAGTTTCTAACCAAAGAAGAAATTGAGAATTATAACGAACTTCCTGAACGATTTAAGTCAAAGAGAAAATGGGATTTAACTGAATTTATAGAATTATCCTATTGGAAAGATTTATCATTCATCGACATACTCGGTGAATCGATACCTTGTCCAAGAAGTGTTTGGTAATTTTACAACTATTATTAAATTCAATATGTTGAATAGTTTGTTCTATTATTATAAAATCTTTTCCATAACAGTAATTTCATCGCTAGACACGAAAAACTTGAATTTGTTGGCTTAACTGAAGAATTTCCAGATATTTTAGAACGATCCGTAATTGAACATAAAAACGTGTATAACTTATTTGTAAGTGTATTAATCTGTAATAAAGAACAATATATTGGTTAATTTTATACTGTAACTTTCAGGATATTTGCCATTTTGAGAAGATTTATGGCAGAAATGACATGTCATTTAAAATTCTTTATACAAAAAAAAATTCTAATATTGACCTTCGTGAAATTTGGAATAGTAATGATATTTCTTATAACGAAATGAGAAGTCCAGTTATTTTTAGGAGATTGGCAAGAAACCATCATGATCATTATGTTATAGAATGCCATTCGGAATTAACAAGAGTATGTTGTCAATTTAAAAAAAAATCAATGATTTACTTATTATTTGCTTATACATATATATTTATATATAAATATATACTGTATATATACAAATACTGTATGTGTAATAGATTCTTGCGGATGAATTGGCGTTCGAAAAGTTTAGCTTTTACACTCGACAAACCTGCTTTGGTGAAACTTGTTGGAATATTCTTTGTACAGATATTGAACAATCGGAATGCATAATTGTTATTGTTAAATTGATTGCCGAGAGATTTTTACAAAGAGATTTTTATCTGAGTGATCTAAAAGATTCATCGTTTATGGATTTACTTACGCAATATCATAAATATTTCAAAATGGTTATTTCTTTTTCTTTTCCAATTTAAATTATGTTTCTTTATGTATTTATCTTTTGAAGGCTACAAATATTAATTATATCTATCGCAAAATCTTCGATATTCCTGAAAAGAATAAAGATGATCTTGATACATGCTTCACTAATTACAGTTTCATGAAGATATTAGTTATATTCCTTGGACAACTGAATTTAGAGCAGGTAAGTTACTCAAAAAAAATTCATTTAATTTTAATGAAAAAGTTAAATACATACATATTTTAGATAACGAGAAACGAATTGGATGGTCTCTTCAGAGGAATGAAGAGGATAAATAGATTAAAGCATTGGAAAGAATCTCAAGATTTACTTGAACAATTACATGTTACAATGTTGCAGATTATGACATACTGCTCAAATAAGCATGGATGGGACCTAACTGAATTAGAAAACTATATCGAGCGACGATTGATAAGATGTAAGTTTATATGCACCGGTTCAACTTCAGTTTATTTGCAGGATGACAATGAATCGGATGATTCGTATGACTATAATTCTGAGTATTATGTCAATGGGGGAGAAGAGGAAGAATATGGAGAAGAAGAGGAAGAAGACTACGAGGAAGGAGACTACGAGGAAGAAGACTACGAGGAAGGAGACTACGAGGAAGAAGAGGAAGGAGGAGTCGAACAAGAAGGAGAAGCCGACGTAGAGTTTGATGACGCAGATGAGGAGGGAGAATTCGAACAAGGAGAAGAAGAGGAAGGACAGGAGCAGGGAGGATATGAGCAAGAAGAGGAGGAGGAATATGAGCAATTTGAAGATGAGGAAGAATATGAGCAAGGAGAAGAGGAGGGAGAATACGAGGAAGGAGAAGATGAGGAAGAATATGTGCAAGGAGAAGAGGAGGGAGAGTACGACAAAGGAGATTTTGAGCAAGGAGAGGAGGAAGTACAAGAGATTATAGTTAGAGGAGTACAAATAGAAGTGATTGAAGAAGAAGCCGAAATTGAAGAAATGGAAAGAGAAGAGGGAGGTGAGTATATAGAAAACAATACTCACAATGGTCAATATATTCAAGAAGTGGAAGTCAGGGAATTACCATTAGACGGAGCCGAAAGTGATAAAGGCGATGTAGAATAATTTGAAGTAGAATTATTTGAATATGAATAGAATTACTAGAGTACGAATTTCAATTCATTTTTAGTATTAAAAATAGATTTATATACTTAGTTCAACTTGTCAAAAATTTTTAAACTATAAATTAATATTATTCATAATCTATAGAGCAAGTTTAGTAATTACTATTTTAATATTATTTGTTTGTTCATTGTATGTGTATTAAAGTATGTGGTGCCATTTTCCCAAAAGATTTCTTTGAATAAATATTTCTCTTCATATTAAAAAAAAACACAATCTCCACTTTTTTTTTATAAAAAGTTAATATATAGAAAGTGTTTTAGCTACTATTTTTGGAACAATTAGTATTCTATATTTAAACTATTCGAGAAGATTTCTATAATTTACAGAATACTCTTCTTTTATATATTCGATATGTCTAACAAATATTCCCGATTTATCCGAAAATAGTCGTCGAAACGTTTCCCGCCATTTCGTAGATTGTTATTGATTGCTGATATTTCGTAATGGCTTTTATGATGAGATTGGAGGATTTGGCGTTTTATAACGCTGTAAAGCTGTTTGGAAGTTTTAAAAAGGAATCATCTTTTATTGATTTTATCAAGGAGAAAAATATTCCGACTCTTATGTACGACAGACTTTTTAATTCTTTATACAAACATTTTATCGGAGTACAAGGCGACATTTTGAAAATGTTTGTCGTTGAAAATTTCCCGCTAAGCAATATAAGATTCGGCGATGCAAGACTAAAGTGTGACGAATCTATAGAGTTTCTAAAAGACCATAAGCTTCAACATCTTAGGATCGAACAACTCACATCGATGACCGTCGAGAGTCTACTTGAATTTATTGACGTTGAGAAGTTACAGACCTTATCTATAAGTAATTGTGCATTTTTACCGGAAAAACTCCTCGTTACAAAGTTAGCGAAGAGGAAAAGGGAGCAAAGAGAACAAAAAGAAACTAAAAAGTTTGAATACTTAAGAAAATTTCCTTGTTTAAGAAATCTTACTTCTCTCAATTTATCGAATACTGAACTAAACGACCTTCAGCTATTTTTCATAACGAAAGAAGTTAACCTTCTAGTGGAAGTAAATATTGCTAAAACCAACGTAACGGATATTCGATTATTGAAGAAACAAACCAATCTTGAAAGTCTCGATTGTTCTGAATTAAAAGAAAGTGTTGGTCGTACACTCGTTCATCTACACTGCTTTGAAAAGTTGAGATTCTTAAGATTTGGTAACTCTACTCCAAGTCAGAGAATTGGTTGGTCCTATAACGTTAATCCCTTTATAAGGAAATATCTAAATCAAGAGGAGTTTTTAGCCTATAGAAAAGTTCCGCAAAGATTTAAAACAAAGCTGAATTGGAGTATGTCCGAATTTTTAAGATTAGCCGACTGGACGGATTTAACATTTTTTGATTTACATGGAAAATGGAGAATATCCCAAAAAAGTTTAAAGTATTATTTAAATAATTAATTATTCCATAATTTGAATAATTTATTCATAATTTTTTCTATTATTATTAATAATAGAGAATTCATTACGACACACACGAAACTACGATTTATAAGATTCTTTAAGGACTTCAGTCAAATTTTGAGAACAATTTTGCCAAGCGATAAAATAGTTGAAGATTTACTTGTAAGTAAAATGATTGTTTATCATCAATAATCATCATTAATGATTAGTCCCCTTTCGTTGTTATAGGACATACGTCACTACGAAAAATTCTATGGAAGGAGTGAATTTTCCCTAAAAGCTCTTCATAGTAGCTATAAATTTCCAGTACAGCCGATTTTACTTAATGCGGACATTGGAATAGCCTATTGGTACGATTCGCAAATCTTTCACGAACAATACGCCATTCCTGGAATAAGCTTATACAAAGTCAATTTTCCAAAGGAAAAGAGTTTAGAACTATGCGAGGTAATTATCTTTATTAATTAGCATGTAATGAATAATAATATATACAGTAGATATTCAACTTTTCCATCTTTTTCCAGTATCTAGCAGACGAGTTAAGCATAGAAAAATACTGTCAATTCCCCGAACAGTATAATTTTGGATACTTATGTTTAAATATCCTTTGCGCAGATATTGAAAAATCAGATTATTTTTTAATGATAATCGAATTAATAGCTGAGAAATTTTATAATAAATTTCCATTTCCTAGTAGTCCATTAGACTACCTGTTTATTGAAGTTCTTGAGAGATATTTGAAATATTTTAGAGTGGTTTGTTAAATGAATTCTTTATACGAATAATCTATATATATATATATATATATTTAAGTAACTAGTTTTTCGCATTTGCAGATAGCGAACATAAACTATATCTATAGTAAACTATTCGCCCATCTTACGTCTGATTATAGTGGATCCGACCATTTTACTTTTATTAAGGCAATGTCAAAATTTTTACAAGAAATTGACCTTGACAATGTAAATTATATCTTAAAAGTAATAACTAATAGAATATTCTCTTATTGATTAATTTTTAATCTTATTTCAGCTACCAAAACAAGAATTGTACTGTATCTTCAAAGGTTTGAGAAATACTGAAAGTTGGATACATTTAGAAGAATTTGATGTCTTAATCGAAGATTTATATGGTATTCTTTTAAACTTTCACGCGTTCTGTAAAGAAAAGTTTGACTGGGATATGGTAAGAGCGGTTACCTACGTTAAACGAATTTACGATTGGAATGTTACCGGATGTCAAAGAACATCTTGTACATTCGATAGCGATCTTGACGAAGAAAAATCTAATTCTAGCGGAGATTTGGAAATATTTGAGCCTAATGAAAATAATAGTCTCTTGGAAGATGTATTTATATTCTCAAACTAATAACTAAAAGGAAAACAAAACTTCTTTTCATGCATGTAGTTTATTTTGTATTGTTGTTTTTTTTCATTGTTTACAAATAGAAAAATACATTGTTTTTACTTTGAAAACTTCTTAGTCGTTATCTTATTATAAGCTGTGCCGAATGCAAGTCATATGATAGTTATCATACAGTTCGAGAGTTTCTTATCATCTGAGCGACAATTAAGAGTTGTTTCTTTTTTCAAATATTTTACCTAAAAGAAATATAGACAAAAAATTAATTAATTAACGTTTTTATTAAGAAGTCAGAATTTTATTTTTTAAATTAATAAAGAAACAAGAATTTGTATAAAGTGAATAAAAAAAATTAATAAAGCCATTTTTAAAATGTTTGTTTAAATATATAATAAATATTGCGCAAAATTTAAAAAAACGACATTTCCAAGTTAATAAATCTTTTTTTTAAAGACTCAATTTGTTCTTAGAATTAGTTAAGATCAATATTTCATTTTAAAAGAAAATAAACACTAAAATATTTTTAATCGCCATTTTAGAAAAGCTAAAGAGTTGATCGTTAACTTTTGGAATAGTCTACGCCTAAAATTTTAGTTTCCAAGTCCCGCCATTTTTGGGGACACAGCCGGACAGAGTGAATGTTCTTTCGAAATGCCTATTGTTCTGAGATTAGAAGATCTAGTTTTCTTTCATATTATAAGAAATTTTACAACTTTCAAAGAACAGGAATTTTTTCTACAACTTTTCAAACAAGGAAAAGTTCCTCCTGTGACTTGCGACAAATTGTTTAATGGACTAAATAGATTCTATGGTGGAATACCTGATGAAATTCTCAAAATATTCACAAAAGAAAATTTTAAATTGAGAAATATTACACTAGATGATAGTAATATTTTTAACAAATTAACTTCGACTTTCTTAACTGGTCATAAACTTCAAAGTCTAACTATAGAACGTTTGGCAATATGGACGGTTGAAGATGTTATCGATTTAATAGACAGTGATGAGTTGAAAACATTATCGTGTCATCGTGCTACGTTTTTGCCAGAAAATAAAATATATAAGAAAGTTTTAAAGAGGAAAAGAAAGCAAGAAACACAAAACTTTACATTTATAAGACAAAGTCCTCGTCTGATAAATGTAACATCTTTATATGTTTCAAAGACGAAAATGAACAATGTTCAACTATTTTTCGTAACAAAAGAAATGTTTCTAATAGAAAATCTCGATATTGCAGACACACGTATAACAGATCTTCGTCTCTTGAAGAAGCAATCTAATCTTCAGTATTTAGATTGTTCTGGGTTGAAAGAGTTTGCTGGTAAACACTATATTCATCTTCACTGCCTAAAGAAACTAAAGCATTTAAGATTTGGCAATACTGAGACAAGATTAACAATGTTACGATTGGGTTGGTCAAGTATAATAAATCCTGTTATAAGACAGAATCTCAATGAAGAGGAATTCAAGGCTTTCAGTTCTGTCCCTGAACAATTTCGTTCCCGATCAACCTGGCATATGTCAGAGTTTCTAGAGTTGGCTAATTGGAAAGATTTGAGGTTTTTTGATTTAATTGGAAAATGGAAATCTTCTCCAAAAAGTATCAGGTAAATGGAGTACTTGCTGATATTATAAATTTAATATATTAATTTATTATTATTAAAATAATTTTCTTTTTAAGCGAATTTATTCGAAACCATAAGAAACTGAAATATTTTGGATTTTCAAAAAACTTCACAGATGATTTGAGCGCACATATGGAAATAACGAAGGAGGTGAAAAATTTGTTTGTAAGTTTTTAAGTAAAATCTAATATTTTTATAAATGATAGAAAATTTCAATTTGTTTCCAGGATATCAAATTCTATGAAAAGTCATACGGTAGAGATAATATGTCATTTAAAGTGTATCATAAAAAAATTTCGTTCCCTGTTGATATTGTTGATCTTCCTGTTGATACTTATGTATCAGATGTGGAAGAAACTTTTTCTAATGAAATTATACCAAGCTTGAACCGATACAAAGAAAATTTTCCGAAGGAAAACCATTCAGAATTCTGCAAAGTAAAATATTTAAGCGAATGAAAGCCACACTCATTGAAATTTTTTTTACAATAATACCATTTTTACAGCTTCTTCTTGATGAATTAAAGTTCAAAAGTATGAACTTTCGCAATACTGCATGCGATATCGGTGAAATATGTTTGAGAGCTCTTTCTATGGATATTGAAAAATCGGACCATTTCCTACCGATTATTCAGCTGCTGGCTCATATTCTCTCATATAGACATTCATATCCAAATAGTCCTTTAGATTTTATTTTTATGGAAATGCTAACGAAGTATTTCAGATATTTCAAGATTGTGAGTGAAGTATTGCTAAAAACTTATTGTTTTAGGTCAGAAGCAATTCATAGTCATTTTATCATATTTTTAGGCTATAAATTTACCGGGCATTTTCAAGAAAATATTTATTGTTCCGAGAGAATCTGATCTACACAGTTATTACATGTCTATGGAAAAGATATTGGCATTTTTAGAAAATATCAACTTGGAAGACGTAAATAATTTGTCTTGATTAATGAAGGAAATTTTTTACAGTTTATTTTTTTTAAATAGATGTCGCAAAGCGAGCTTTCCGCTCTCTGTTTGGGAACTAAGCAAATTAAAAGTTGGCACAATGGCGTAGAATGTGAAGAATTAGCCAAAAAATTATATGAAACTATTATGAAAATTATCAATTATTGTACAAAAAAATTTGGATGGGATTTGTCAAAATCAAAAACGTATCTTAAACCACTTACAAAGAAATTTGCTCAAGGATGTACTGGTGTCTATTCTTATTATTCCGGAGAGGAGGATCAATCAAATGATGAATTTCGTTGCTTTTATGATACGAGTACAGATAATGATGATTGGTAATAGAAGTGTGTAGTCAACATATTGGACTTTCGTAAAAATTAATCGAATTATTTTAATGAGCCAATTGAAAATTGTAACTTTGTCTTTTTGTTAAATGTAAAAATGTACGCTTTACCTTTTTGATTTTGAATTTTATATATAACAAATTTACTGTATAAATTAAGTAAAAAGCAACTAAACCTATTTATGTAAAATTACGTTATTGGCATTTCATTACTTTGAACCAAAGTCGATAGACAATCCTAATGGTTCTTCTTCAGCTTTAATAAAGTCGCAAAAATCATTAAAGTATATAAATCAACCCGAGTTTATTTTCCTTTGACGATTTATGGTTTACGACCAAATAGACTATTGTATCAACATTGCAGTTACTTTACACCTGGATAGGCAATATAGATAGAAAATCTATGGTATTGGCAGTAGTCCTGCTGATTATCAGGATTTTGATGATGGGAAAGTTGAAACCGAAGAAGTTAGTGATAAAGTTAGATACCAAAGACTGTCAACTGACTCCAAAGCTTATAAATTTTACGGATAACAGGATCATGGGTTAAGAAAATGAAATATCCTTAAACAAATGTATTACTCATTCCATATATATTATTAAAAGTGAAAGTACAATAAAAAAGTAAGATTCAATTGAATGGAATATACAGTATATAATTTATATATAAACATTTTCTCCTCCAGATTCATCGTCAGTAACGATACTTAGTTCATCTGAACCAGAGGTGGAGGAATCTTGTGTTAGAATTCTTTTACGAACTTCCATAAGTGCTTTTCCAAGTAAATTACGTCCTTTCCAATTTCTTTCATCAGCAATATTTGGATCAGTAATTTTCATTCCTATTCCCCAAATTCTATCACTTGGACTTGCTTCTGCTAAATGAATATTCTTAGTTGATATAATGTAATCCTTTAATGTGTTGTTCTGACTAAATTTATAATAATTTCCTTGAACAACAAAATCAAAACAATGATTCTTCCATATTTTATCATCGAAATTTTTCACTTTTCTTCCTAAAGCTTTTATCCTTGGAGGTGCTCTTTCCTTTAGAATTTTCTCAGCTATAGCATCATCTTTAAACAGACGAGCTTTACAATACATCATATACATTTCAGCACAAGTAAATTTATTTGCACCGTACATATCTTCGCCAGGAGCTTCGAACTCAGCATTGTAGAATTGACTAAATGGGGAAACTTTCGTATAGAAAAAGCCGTATTCTTTTCCATTTGTCCCTTTAAGAACCTTTAATTCGCTATCATTGAGAGTGCAAATACCTCCTGTTGCCATATTAGAGATGTTTCGATAACATATCAAGCAGAAATGAATATCGAAAGAAGAGCTATCAGATTATAAATTCTTTTATTACACAACCTTTAGAAACACTTCCGTATCCGGTATGGAAGAATGATAGTGAAAGAAAAAGAAAGCATTATTCAACTAATAGTAAAGGGGCGTATAACGGATATTTTACTTTATGTTAACCAATATACAATAGATTTACGTTTCATTTTAAATAGAATGTATTGTATATACTGTATATATATATAGAAAATAAGATAATAAGATATAGAAGGAGAAAAATTGACATTTTGAAATTTCCCGCCAAACGGAAATAGAATGTCAATAAAACTCTCTTTCTACTTTCATTTCGCAATCTCGCGCAATTATTTTGAATGACCAATAGTTTGAAATATTTCGTAAAAATCCATTTATTAATCATCTAGTGTTGAAATAAACGTATCATATGAATTTGTAATAATGCAATTATTCAAAGGATTAGTACTATCGTTTATATTCAAGCTCTACTAGCTATTAAACTCCCTTTCTATCTTAGAGAAGTAGGGATATTTCCAACTTATACATAAGACTTATCATAAATATCGGCTTAACGATTACAAGAACCAATTGTACATTGGATATTTTATAAACATGTCACATATTCTTATTGACAATAGTATGAACATCTCAGTCCTTTTAGAGCACGTGCTCATCACGCTGGCTTCCATTGTGATATTCTTCCAAAAACGCATAACAAGTATAGAATTCCAATAGAGAATTAAATTCTAAAAAGAAGACAATATAAACGTTAGAATCTCAGGAAATTAGATGATATTGTTTATGTCTGTGGATCAAAATCTAACAGACATAAATAGACTTTCGTCTATTTTTGCAAATAGAATTTCTAATAGCGAAGTATGACCTAGTTGAATTAAAAAGAGAATTTGTATCATATATTATCGTATAATGTTTAAAATACAGATTTTAAACGTAAAAGTAAAGCTTACTAATATCTATATATATCTATTATATCGTATATATTACAGCTGTCGAATCTATAAATAGATTTCTACAAAATACGTAACGGTTAAGACCAGTATACAAAAACTTAAAAAACATGATTATTAGCTGTTTACCTAATCTATAGGATATGATTGTTATTACAAACGATAATTATTAATAAATCTAAGAAATCGAGTAATAGCATCTTCTAAATAGTTTGTTTTTTCATTTATTTGTTTATAATAACATAGAAATGTAACACTTTTCTTCTTAGAAAACGGTGCAATCTTCACTTCTTTCACTTGTTGTAAAATTGCAATAGGATTTAAGTGAATATTAAGAGAATTTATACTAATTCTACTAAAAAGGTAAATATAGATTTATAATATTTTGGAGAAAGAAATGGCATCATTTTATAAATATACAACATTTCTTTAACATCTAAATTAAGTTCAACGTACAAAAGTCTTAGCCAACAAGGAGATATAACAAAGGACGAAAGACAATAGTTTTGTTTATTTTTTCTATAAATCTCTCTTGAATTAAAAGCTTAAAAGATAAGAATTTAATTTCAAACTACTTGAATAATGAATAGTTTTATAAAATTTATTCATATTTTCTTTTATAAATTACTTAATTAATTGTAAACTTTATTAAAAAATTATTCATTGACATTGAAAGTATAATTTCAAGTAAACAAGATATAAAATAGTGTTCAAAGTTCACAAGATTTTCTGTTTAAAAGTATTTTATTCTTCATTCTAGACTTGAAACTCGTATAATACAGAAAAGAAAATTGGAATTTACTTAATAAAACAAAAAACCATGACTTTAATGTAAAATTTACGATTTTTCCTTTATATATTTCAATATTAAATATTATATTTTCATTGTTTTTCAGTTTAAAACTACTTATGATAATTAGTTTATGTAAAAGTTCATGTTCTTTATCTTTGGAATTTAGTAAGGCTTTAAAAAGTGAAATATTAGGAAAGTATGACGAATGTATTAAAATTCGTAATAATATAGGATATTGTAGAAATGAAATGAGTTTAGGTAAGTTTACTTTTTCATTTTAATTGATTAATTAAAATATTTTATCAATTTCTTATCTATTTTTAGAAACATATTTATATATAACAAGGAAATGTTCAGCTATAGCTTCAGTAGGAAAATATGATAAATGCGTTCATAATTTCTTCAAAGGTAATAGATCAAAGTAATATTATTAAATCTATAAATAACATTGTTCTATCTCAGATAAATGCGCTGAAAATAATGGCGGATGTTCACATATTTGTGTAGATGAGGGTACACATCATTTTTGTCAATGTAAAGATGGATTTAAATTATTATCGGATAAAAAGACTTGTCAAAGTAAAAATATCCTTTTTATTCATAAATGCCAAATTGGATATAGAGATAATAATAAAAACATATATAAATACGAAGACGATGACTGCTTGAATAGAATTTTTAAAGTTAATACTTCTCCAAATACAACTAAAAGTTTTGACTATCATTTTACATTTAAATATAATCCTGGAATAAAAAGTCAACTACAAGTATTGAAAAGTTTTCCAACGGCTATCATATCTTACGGGATAACTAATTCAAATATAACGGTTTATAAGATCTCGTCCGATTCAAGTAAGTAAATATATTCTCTTCTTCAAGATTATATATGAAATTTTTAATGGATATAATCAATTTTTTGATACTTTATACATCTATTTATCTATCTATCTATATATATACTGTATATATATACATATATATAGACTCTAAACAACGAATAATTTTACAAAACACACCAAATTGTCAACCTCAGCATTACGATAGGAAAAAACCATATCAAGGAATCATTTCCTGTAAGAGTCAAATCGATTTGTCAAATACTAATATCCGTATTAACGAGAGGTAAGTAATAAATACTTAACTTTTGATATTTTACTATAAATTATGATTATTATATTTTATAGATTATGCGTTCGTTTATCAATTACAACTGGTGGAAGAGCTGTTTTTAGCTTAGGAAAGAGTAAATATAGAAATCCAAAATTTTTATTCAATTCAATAGAAGATACTGTTGAAAATTGTATTGAATATAAAAAGGACTTGTATCATATTGTCTTAGATAAGATATTAAGTATTATTAAGTATTTTAAAAGTTAATTAAAAACATTAGTTTTCCTTATCTTCTCATTTGTTAAGTTGGATAATTATGTGTTAAAAGTTATGACATTTTTGTTTTCAAAATTAATACATTTCTCTTACAATACGATCGTCTTTAACTTATTGCTCTATTTGTTAGAATAGGCTTTTGAAAGACTATATATCCTAATGCTCATTAATATTCAAAATGCATATTAGCTTGAATACGAAATATTTCATCGATTTTATCATATAATATCAAAATAATGAATATTTTATAGCATTTAGGTAAAAAATGATTTAAAATTCAGGTAAACAACTTATCTAATCTATATATTTATGCTGGCAGTTTATTCCGATCTTTTTCGACAATCGAGTATATCGACTATTAGCCTATTTGTTTTATTTAATTCATCGTTTAGAAAGGCATCAGAGGTAAATAAAGAGCTTTGTTATAGTTCATTAAAAATAGTAAACAATTTAAAAATAAACGTTTTTTCATCAAGATGAAATTGTTAATGATACTATTGCTCATCACTGGGATATGTGTTCAGTCTTCATTCTCTTCCAAGCATCGAAAAATTGTTTCAAACGCCTATAAAGACTGTCTTAGATATGAGAAACGACACTGCGTAAAACATATTATTCACGGTATAGATATATTTAACACAGTAGAAAGTATGTTTTAATTATAAAATTTCATTTAAGGATACAGAACTTGTTCAAGGCATTTACGCCTACTAGACTTCCAGAGATGCCTTGAAAAAGGATATAAAAGTTGTAAACATTATCTTTATTATATTATTTTATTAACAGAGTATAATATAAAATAATTCAGATAAATGCAAGGATAGTAATGGAGATTGCTCACAGATATGCCTATCAAAGGGAAACAAGCATTTTTGTTCTTGTACAGATGGTTTCAAATTAATGGAAGATGGAAGAACTTGTAAAGGTTTGTATTTTTGTTTATAGTTTTATTGTTAGTTATATTCTTTTTTTTTATATAAGAAAAACTACTTCCACACCTGTATAAATGTACTATTTCTTATGGGCTAATTAGTGAAGAGACAATGATGTTCGAACCTAATAGCTGTTCAGATAGGCCTTTCGAAAATTATAGTATTTTCGATATACCTGAACTAGTTGACTACAACTTTGAATTTAGCTTCAATCCGGAAATAGAAGAAGAAGTAGAACTATACGAAACTATACCATCAGTGAAATCGTTTTATGGAGTGACTAAATCAACAGTATCAGTTTTAAAGAACAATGATTTATTAAGTAAACTTTAAGTTACTTTCATTGAACTTTTATGTATAACTTTTAATAAGAGATTTTCTTTAAGATGCCATGGTTGAAGTAATAACTGATAGTTCCATCAAGTGTACATCTCAAGTTTACAATAGAGATAGTCCATTTAAAGGAAAGATCGTTTGTAATAGTCAAATTAAATTGACTAGTTTACATCTAAAGAGCGGTGATAGGTAATTAAATTATCATTAATTAATATGTAAAATACTTAATAACTATTAATATTACTTTTAACAGAATTTGCATAAAACTAAATATAGTTACTGGTGGAAAAGTTAGATTTATACTTCATGATTCAGAAATGGAACAACCAGAGTTGAGATTGAATTCAAAAATTGATAGAATTTCAAGATGCGTTACAATTGAAAGAGAACCATGATTTAAGATTTAAGTCATCATCTATCATAATCCTACTTATATTTCTTCTGATTGTACTTTGTACTATTTCTATAAATGTCAATATTTTATTGTTGATTTATTAAATGTTGATAAACTAAAGGAAACTTTGAGAAATTCTCTCCAATTAGCTTAATCTTTCGAATATCTCTGATTAATAATAATCCTTTTAAACGAACGTTTACCCAACTGATTTTGATTCGATGGATAATTATCCATGTCCTTCAATTAGTCTAAACAGAATTATGTTATTCGATAAGCTGATTTATTGAATTTATTGTAAAAAGAAACTACTAAAAGTAGTTTCTTTTGAAAGAAGCGCCAATTTTACTCTTAGTGCATTCAATAGATGGCACTACTTAGAGGTGTTCCCATATATCGCCTCTTATCTAAATGTATTAAAAGAAATTATTCTTTAATGATATCTACACATAATTAAAAATGGCCAATAACGGTGTTACATATAAATATCTTGGTAAATCAGGACTTAAAGTATCAACAATATGTTTGGGTACCATGACATTTGGTCATAAGGAGGTAAAATATTTTTTACATTAAATAGTTTATTAAAACTATTCATGTCCTCTAATTGGCCCAATTAGAATTATGCTGTTCAATGTGACGAAGAACAATCGCACGCAATACTGGACAAATTCGTGGAAATGGGTGGAAATTTTATCGATACTGCCGACGTTTATACGGGGGGATCGTCTGAAAAGATAATTGGAAATTGGTTAAGCAGGTAATATTAGTATAATTAAACATTATAATGGTTTATTGCACAAGATGTGCTGGTTAAAGAGATAATTGATAAATCTAATCTTATATTGTATTATACTAAAGGCAAAAGGATAGAAGTCGATTAATACTTGCGACTAAAGTTAGAGGCAACATGGATCCTTCAAACCCTAATGCGTTGGGCCTTAGTAGAATGCACATTATGAATGCTATTGACAACAGTTTAGAACGCTTACAAACTGATTATATAGACCTATACCAGGCATAGAAAAGGTGATTTTTAACTTAAGAAGTAGAGAATAATGAGCTTTTATTTTAGGCACATGCATGGGATGATGGAACGCCTATTGAGGAAACTTTTACGGCTCTCAACGACCTAGTTTCAATGGGTAAAGTACGATACATTGGCGTTTCTAATGTAACTGGCTGGCAGTTACAAAAAATCGTCGATATGTGCAATTACAGACAATTATCACCTATTACAACCCTACAGGTTGAATATAATTTAAAATCTTTTGTATTGATATACTAACTGATAAGGTACTCTTTTCTTCTATATAAACACAAAATAGCAACAATGGAGCCTGTTAACTCGGGAAACAGAATATGAGCTGGTTGATGTTTGCCAGAATGAAGGAGTTGGAGTTTTACCCTGGAGTCCATTGAAAGGGTAGGAGTTTTCTTTATTTATTCTTTGATTTGTAGCTTAGAGAATGGTCAAAGATTACCGATTATTATTGTTGTATTTGTTGTTATTATTTATAGAGGCTGGCTGAGCGGAAAAATACAAAGGGACGGTGAACTGGAAAAAGGAAGCCGAATTGCCTGGACATCGGAAGATCCTGCTAGACTAGTTCAAAGCCATCCCACTTTTGATCAATTCAACAACGATAGAGTCTGGAAACTATTGGATACAATAAAAACTATTGGATCTTCTCATGGTAATCAATTCATCAAGTTTTCCCCATTTTCCTTGACAATACCCCTTTTACAGGTAAATCTGTAGCTCAAGTATCTCTTAAATGGTTATTAGAGAAGGATGTTGTTTCCTCTGTTGTTATTGGAGCAAAGAATTTGAAACAACTGGAGGACAATATGGGAGCCGGAGCAGAATGGAATTTATCAAAGGAAGATGTAAGAAATTAAACTATAAATCAATTTGAAATTTTCGCCTAATTTAATTTTTCTACATTTTAACAGATGAACATTTTGAATGATTTATCTATGCCAAACATTCCATATCCATACGAAATGGTTTCAAGGGTAAATAAGACCAGAAAACGCTGATTGATTAATGATTTCTGTTTATAACATATTTTGATTTTTATTATAAAAGAAAATCTAATGAAAATAATCAATTGATTAGTCGAATAAAAAATAAACAAAACAAAAACAAAACAAAACAACAAAGAAAAGGAAAAAAAATGGAAAATAAAGAGAAACAAAAAACAAAAGATGAAGAAACAGTATTTATAAAACAGTTTTATATTTCATCTTTTCTTCACATAAACTCCTTACGTCGCCGTTGCATTCGTCGTATCGATTCCCTTGGCAGTGTTCCTGACGAAAAGGGGGAAGAAGATAGGTTATAATGATACTTAGAGAAATGGAATTATACTATTTTCTCCTACCTTCACACACTTCCATATATTAAACTCTAGACTATATTCGTCATATATTTTACACCAATTATTAAATTCCTGCCTCCAAATGCATTCTGCATCGTTAGGTATACAATCTGGAAAACGTTACACAAATAAATAGTACAATCGCATTATTTCTGTTTGTTCCTACCGCTAACTAAAACCTCCCAAACTGCTAGAACAACATTGTTCTGCCCAGTGGTACAACTATATATTCCTTGCTCCAAAGAAGATATTTCCCATATTATTAAGGAATTAGTCTTATCCATTGTGAATTTATTACTATTAAAGTTTATCATTTGATTACCCAAGAACCAGTTAACACTTTCAGTTGTATCACAAAATGATGAACAACTCAACAAAACGTTTCTGTTTGTACCGCGAATGGCTTTTTTCATTAATCTCACACGGTCTCTTTCTTTAATGCAATAGTTTGAGCTTATTAAATTGTGAATAGATTCTAGACTATTCATATTTATAATATTATTATGGATCATTCCATTCGAGCAATAAAGCAACGGTGGAACTTTCCTAGACGATTCTTGTCTAAAGTTGCATTCGTTTAACTTTGGATGCCACGAGCACATTGGATCGCTTACGCAGGTTGTACATGATGTATAACTTCCGCAAAGCTTATCAATATTTAATTTACCAACATGAAAGTCTGTTGTAAAGTATAGCGTCTCTTGAACTAATGCTATTGTTTTAAAGAATTCGAAATGAATGGACGGAGTGAATACAGCTATTTCAGCAATGAATATTAATTTATCTTCTTTTGTTGACACTACTCTTAAAATACTCCTTCGATTCGTTGTTATGTAATAAATATTATAATCTAAATCCTGATCTATCGCCATCTTACTCCAAAAAGATGCTGTTTCAGAAATTAATATAATTTTGCCAATCGATTCTTCTGGTTTTAACGTCGACTTCTTTAAAAATTTTAATATATTCCTTTCTTTAGACTTTCTAAACTGTTTAGGCCTGCAACGACCGGGTAGATAAGGTATATCCTTCCCAATTTCAACGGAAGTTTTCTCAAAATACCGAACAGAATCGACAGAAAAAGACTTGAAAAAATCTCTACTATCAAATATTTTTACTATATTTTCAACTGCAAAACTGCATAAGGCCGATTGTACAAGTTTTTTACTGCAAGTAGAAGAACTATATATTAGTATTAACTTAAAAATAGATTTAGGCAAGTTTCTATGTGAATATATATAATGTCAATTATTTAAAATAAGAAATTTTTTTGTATACATACTTGTTACCATTAGTTACAAAAAGACCGTAAAAATACTTTTTATCCTTACTTAAAGAAACGTCAACTGTCGAATTATTATATTTTTTTATAGTAATTAATATTTTAACAGTTTTTTTTTTTAAAAAAAAAAAAGACAAATAATTACCTAATCTGTTAAAAAATACTGTTTGATCTATTGAGAATTTATCGTCTGTTTGGCAAACTAGGCTTATTTTTACGAAACTCGACCAACTATCCAACTTTGCCGAATCTTTCTATAAGAACAAAAGTTAGCCATTAATTATAATTTTGAATACTTTCCTTTGTATAATAAACATATATAAATAAACATGAGTTTTCATAAGTATAAAACATACTTTGCATATCCTCGCAACTCTACTGACTATTCTCTGTGGTTGAGATTTAGGAAGAGATAATTCTATTGCTAATTCGTTGTAGAAGACAAATAAAAATTCGTCCATTTCCACCATCTTTATTACCGTCGAGTGTTCTTGATAAACGATGGAAAGACAACAAAGAGTATTATTTAAATTGTATAGTTATTTTTTTAAAAGGAAAGAAACGTTTTCCCACAAAGCAAAACCGTGTGAAAAAGGGGCGTGGGTGGGAGATAGCGGAAGGGACGACTTGACATTTACAAAGTAAGAGCATTTTGTCAAGTTGATATGGACATTACAAATGTCGTATCCATTAGATTAAATAAAAGATTTCCTTTTTATCTTTTTTCTGTATCAGTTGATAATTAATTTAAATTAACTAACCTGACGGATAGATAAGGTGATTATTGTCTAATTTTAAATTTAATCCGACAACTCGATTTCTTCTATGATCGAATTGATATCTCCAAAGAACGTTATACACTCTAAAACTTTCATGCTCCAGCATTGAACCAGCCCGAAATACTGCTAAGCGATTTCCAGGCGTCTTCTTATCGCTAAGTAGGACCGTCATATTCCAATTTGGAAGACCAGAACAGAATACGTAACCAACTGGTAATTTTCTATTTAAATTTGTTTTTATTCTCAAATTCTCCTTCTGCATTAAACGATACTCAAAAAACATCGGTTAGGCCTAAGTTGGTACTTACGTCTAAAACGTACAGCTGCGGATAGGCGTAATTCGTTCCGCAAGTTATAATTTCCTTATCATAGTTAACAACGTACGCATCATTCAATAACTTTTCCAAAGGTACATCTAACCCAACAAAGTGGATAAGATTCATACAAAGTTGAGATGATTTATCTCCAGCTTTTCGCCTACAATTTGATACTTTTGTTTCTCTATCGGATGTAATTTCGTCCGATTTTATAACATCCCTTAGCAGGTTTTTCATATTAAATCTATATAAATATCGCCTGGGCGAAAAATAAATAAAACACCGGTTAAAATTTATATACAAACTAGGCCTAAAACAACTTACTCTGATCCTACGTAAAAAATATTCTCTTCTGGAACAAACTTGACGTAGTGAAAATATCTCGGTTTGTTTTCAGTATATATTTGTAGTCCTATACAATAAGAGGGAAAAAAAACATAAAAATACATAACAAATAGAGTGAAGATTTTAGATGACGTTGTCTCGCCTTTCTAATCTTTTAAGCTTATCCTTAATTATTCATAAATAATTCATGTTGTCAGTAAAAACTATAGTATATAAAATATATATATATATATATATATAGACGTGTATCTACGTCTGTCAATGACGGCGTGTTATTATTTTCTTTTATATAGTAAAATAATATTACTATTTCAATGATTGATTATGATAGAAAATAGACAGAGAAAAACATAAAAGATTATTGAATAACATTAGAATTAACGTTGATTTTTTTAATTATAATTAATATTTAATATTTAATATTTAAATAGATAAATGAATATTGCATATATATATATATATATATATATTAGTTTATACAGTAAATAGTGATCTACTACTATATGATACAATCATTGAACTGCGAAGTAAACATAATATCGCTACTTGATAATATATTAATAAAACATTATTGTTTACATTCAGTTATTGCTGTCTGGGGGTATGATAATATATTAAAACTGGAATAAAAGATATATTATAATCTTTTCAGCATATCTAATTGGCCGTAAAATATATTATGAAGAGAGAAAAGATAGATTTTCCTGTAATTATTAATTATTAACTATATAAATCATATTCGATTTATATTTATTTATGAATTTACTGCTTTTCTTTTGTTTGTCTCTTTGTTGTTGTTGTTGCTGCTGTTTTTATTTTTTTGTCCTATTGACTAACTTGTTTTCAATCAATTCAACGAACCGCAAATTGATAATTTATTTAGCAGTAGCGATTTATCCTTATCAATTGTAATCGTTAAATTATACTGTATAACCTAAAAAAGAAAGTAGGCAAAGTTTTAACTATAATTTTGTTATTTTTACTTTCTACTTTTTACGGATTACTGATTAGATAAGCTGACATTTTTTTCTATATAAAAAAGAAATATACACAATTTATACTGACCTTTTAAATTGTTTCTTTCTAAATTAAAGATATCCGGATTATTGTTGGACTGAGCTAAAATGAATGGTACTATATTTAATAACAAGCCATAAAAGTTAATAATACTAGTATCCATCCTTCTCTTTCTTGTTATTATGTATGGTAAATATAAAGTACAAAGAACTCGCCAAAACTCCACCTAATAATAACGTTTAACTACATGCTGCAAATTTAAATGCTCCTAGCGCCACGTAGTTATAACTTCTTTTTATCTGGAAAATGTAAACTTTTCCAATAGAGATAAAGATTTCGTCTAAATACGTAAGAGTACGTTAAAAGAGGAGTTGGATTAGGGGATGCTTGTGGAAATTCTTTTCCGTTCTATTCATTTGACCGAGTATGAACTTCCTGGTTAACAATCAATTCAAGTGATTATTGAAGTCTTCTTTTCATCTGTAAACATCAATTTCTTTTCGTATAATAGATGTATTTCGTTATTACTGCTCTTACTTGTTGATTCTTTATAGAATGCATTAGATTCTCTTTTAAGATTGTTACTGAATTGTATTTTGTATACTTGATCAGATCACGTATGCTTTTCAGGCTAATTTCATCAGTTGTTAATTGGCTGAAGCAGTGCCTAAATTCACTACTATTAGTGAAAAATCAATCTAAAAAACGCATTGTCTTTTTCGACAATGTAGAAATAACTGTACGCTTATTTATTTACATTACATAATACTTCAATTACTTAGCAGTCATCCGCAAATTTTACAGTTTTATCTATGTTTTTAAATAAAAAAAATAAAAGAATCTTTCCTTATCCAATTTATTCTAAATTTCTATCACGTGCTATCACCTTACCCTTCTCTGGGAGGGAAAGGTTTCCTCATATATCAGCATTAAGGAGATTCTATCTAAAATTCTTTTCCATTATAAAGAAGAGGGGAAAAAAAGGTAATTAACTACTTAAACAATTATAAATGTGGAATATATTGGATTTATTTTAATTGAAGAAACCTTATTATTATCGTTTTCATCTTGGAAAATCATCATTCTTTCTCCCTTTTCTTGTTATCTTATCTATAGAAATAAAAAATATTCTAACCCTTTGAAATGACCTTTTAACTCATTAAAAAATGGCTTACGAAAGTAAATATTACTTATAAAAAAATCTACTAGAAGAGATGTTTATGCTTCTTCTTCTTCTTCTTCTTATGTATTCAATAGAGATTTTAATCTTCTGTTAACTAAAGATTTTAATCCTTCTACTTTTTTGTTTTTCCTTCCTTCCCTAATGAATTCAATAACTAGATGACGGATAACAGATGGCGTTACCAGAATGTTACAAATACTTTCCTATTCGAGTTAGAAAATAATACAATATCCCGTTTCATTAGCAATAATAAACAAAAAAGAAGATACATTTGAGCCTAATAATAGTAACCAAGATAATAATTTCATAAACAGTAAAGGTTAAGTTTTCTTTCCCATTATATCATATTGAAAGATAAACAAACCTACATCTTAAAATTGAACTTGTTAAGGTAAAAATTGTCAATATTTGTTTCTTTTTTTTTTTAAAAAAAAAATAATGATGAAAAAATTTTCTTTATTATATTTCCTTTTAGTTACAGTAATAACTAAATAAAAAACAAATGTTTAATATTGAGAAAATAAAATATGAAAAAAGTTGTTTTATATATATATATATATATATATATATATAGTATCTTCTTATTCTTCTTCCTGTCATTGAAAATAGAATAGATGCTATCACATAAATTAAATAGCAGAAAGGAAATAAGCACCATCTTAATGCAACAAATGTAAAAAATAAAAAAAAAACACAACAATAACACATCTTTTTATTTACTATGATGATAGAATCTATAACAATTGATTAGAAATATGTATCGCCTCTTATACCGTTTTCAACACCTAAAAATTCACCATCAAATTCTGGTTGATCGAAATTTGGTCTAAATGTAAATCCATTGAAATAGTTGGGTGGTGATCTATGTAAATTAGCGCCTATTAAACTATTTCCTTGAACGTTTAGTACTCCAGAAAATGAATTTGAAATTGACGTTTCGTTATTATCGGAACACGATTTCTTTCGGCAGGATTTAAAACAACATTTATATATTAAAACTCCACAAATTACTCCTAATAATGCTCCAACTGATGCTGCTAAAACTGCAATAGCCCAATCGGGTAATTTAACGCACAATAATGAATCGCTTCTTGTCCAACCGTGTTTAGCCTTTAATGGATTGCAAACAAGACAGTTATCGTAATGTGGTGAATCTCCGGATGCGTGACAGTTATATTTTTCATTTTCATCTTGACCTTAGAAATGAAAAACGGATTTAAATGACACTTTTCATTTTTTTTAATGTTCTTAATGTAAAAAATTAATGATAGATTGTAATCCGTTTATCATTTCTACTTTTAATTGCACAGGCATTTTGTTGAATTTCACAGAGCAATGGTCTGCTATAACATCTTTGACAAGATCCATTATATATTGTATAGAGTAATGATGTATTGCTTCGTTGTCCACCATTAGTAATTGATATTACACAATTTATGCAATTTGTTGGTACTGGACATTCAATAGAGTTAAAATTCCTAAGGGTACCAACTTTCGTGTAAGCAACACCATCTGTTTGTGTTATCTTGTTATTCATCTTAGTATAGGGAGTAAATAAGCAGGTAAAATTGCTGTAGGGATCGAAACGTTTTCCATAGATTATCGTCGAAGTGCAGTTCTGAGTTAGGCTATCGCATAGACCGTTGTTGAAAATTTTCTGTAAAACAGGAATATCATTAATTTTAATAGAGCAATCCGTGCCTTTATATCCTTGATTACAAGCGCAAACTCCACCAGTACAGTTTCCGTTACCTAGACAAGCAAATTAACAAAAATGAGTGTATTAATTGAAAAGTTGTTTGTTTTTACAATCTATGTGTTATATGCATCCTCCTGCATGATCTTATTACCTGAACAACTGTTCTGGCACATCATTTTAACCATATTCTTTAAATTTTCGCTACTTGAAGCGTTTCTTTCAATAATTTTTTTACATTTATAATTAGCCGAATTTGTTGCGTCTATAAGCCAATCTTTCGATTGTGATACTCTTATATCTTCAATACAATTTTCTAATTCGTTGTGTGTACTGAATCCGTCAAGATTATTACAAATTTTAGCTTGAGCTGAATTAGCTAATTCGTCTTCGCAAATCTTTCTGGCTTCCTTCCTTGAAATTCTGCTATTTTTAGGCCAATCCTTTCCCTTTGAATTGTTTTTTTTTGTAATTGTTATTAATATATACGAAAGTCAAGGTAATAATTTATTTAAAAGTATAGTATATTCACCTTTTTAGGCTTATAATCTTGATTAATTATTAAATTAGATCTTCCTGATTGATTTGACGAGATATGTCTTTTTAACCTGTAATATTTTTTATAATTTACAATAACCGCATTGGCCAATAAGGAATCTGTTATGTCCTTTAAATCTTTATCGAAGCAATGATGGACCGATAAACTTTCTGAACATTTATTTTCCTTGGAACATAAACAAAATGTTTCCAAATCTAAATTCATCTTTGCAAGACTAGCTATTTCATTAAGAACGTATCCATTCATTAAACTATGTTTCGATTGGATATCAACTCTCCAATTATTAATAAATTTCTCTAAGTTATTAGCCGTATTAGACTTCAAGTATGATTCATCACGAAGTTTGAGATCATTTTCCACATCATTATCTAAATACCCACACAATCCTCTAGTATTGTTAAAATCATAGCCTCCCGGTATTATCCATACGTTGAGGAATTCTTCTGAAAATGCTTCTACGTTTACAGTTACCCCGTTGGGTAAGTAAACTTCAAAACGTTTACCGAACATTGATGATCTTATATAGGTTTCTTTTGTGAAATTATCTCGTAAATAAATTTTTGCAGTTAATACAGAAGCAGTTTCATAAACAATTGTATGATTGTGCAATAATACTGGATTTTCTGACAATCTGGAACATCTATCTATAGATATGACGTCATCAGCGCTCTGAATTAAAACCGCGCAGTTACAAGTAGCTGTAATAGTTTTCGAACATCTCTGATAAACAGCATGAATCTGTATGGAAGAAATTAGCTATGATGTAAACAACAAGAAGAAAGTAAGTGGGTGGCTTGCTGGAGATTGGAAAAAGAGACAAGTAAAGGTGATAAAACCAGAGGTGAAAGTCTCTATAATAATATATTTCGTGTTACCTTAAAAGGTAGGCTGGTATGACTATATAAAACGAATTCTCCTTCATTATAGTTGTTGTATTGCCTGAAAAATAATATAGGTCCTATTAGGCCTATTTAGCTTCTAAAAATAAAATGTTTACAATCCATCGAACGTCAGAATGTGTGGATCGTTTACAGATCTACAAATACCAGAGACATCGCCATTTTCTACAGATACGTCTACGAATACAGATGGACCATTTTCCTTCTTTGTTCTAAGACCAATTTCAATTTGGCCTTTTCTCAAACCATCTAATGTTCCTTTATAAATAAAAACAATAAGAATAATAGAAATTATAAGAAAACTATTGTAATTTGTTTATTAATATATTTGATATTACCATCAATTCTTGGATAAACAGCTATCTCTCTCGACATCCAATGTCCGCTAGTAAATTTATCTTCAGAAACGGATATACGACAAAAATTTTCGTTTATAGAGAATCTATTATATCCAAAAGCAACTTGATCAACTTTTACAGAGTTACAGCTGAAAAATTGTATATAAAAGAATTATAATGTTATAGCACCCCCTTTTTTTTCTTTTAAAGAAACTTGAGAATAAATAAAACAACAAATAAAATATGTATAAAATTTTTTCTTTTTTGTTTTTTTAAAAAAAAAAGAAAAAAATAAATAGAAAAAATCTTTTAAAATATTTACTCTATGAGTAATTTATATATATATATATATATATATATATATCTTTAAATACCTAAAATTATCTAAATTCTTGTATATAATCTCTATATAGACTTGGCATCCTTGGCACAGTTGATTTCTGTCAACCCATATAGAAACGTTTACGTATTCAATTGATAGCCATCGTTCCTTAAGTTTAATAGATTTTGCCGATTCCAACTAAAAGAGAAAAGTTTTATTGTTATATAATCAGTTATGCTTATTCATACTCTTATCTCCCATAAAGGCTTTTCTGGTTCTTTAGTTGATTCATGGATGCTATCAGATTGTGTTACAGTAGTTGCTGTTGTTTTATCTAATTCTGTTCCCGTTGCTGTTGCTGTTGCTTTTGCGTATGGTGTTGATGTTTGAAAAAAAAATTGACTAGAATAAGCAAGACTAGGTGATGTTGAGGCTGTTGAGATTTCGGGTTTCGTTACAGTATCGGACGGTAAACTCCAAGTGGGAATTGTAGTTTTAGTAGCCGAGGAAGGGCATTGGTTTTTAATATACTTTGAAAGTCTTTGAACGCAACCCGTTCCGTATTCTTCGCATATTGCAAGAAACTCCTTGATTTTTGGGCATTTTATATTCTTTCGAAACTTTTTTTCGTATAGCATTATGCAATTCTTTTCGCACCGATCCTTTTTCTCTATAGTACAATTATATTTCTTTCTTAATTATATGCAAATGATCTATAAATAGCTTATTTATATACCTTCGTCGATCATTTCAATGTGTTTATTAAGACAGGAATGAGAAATTTGTTCGTAATAATACGAATCTAAATCATTATATCCACACAACCACTTATATTCCCATATTTTAAGTCCTCTTGTTGCATTTACTGTAGCCGTACAGATAGAGGAAAGACTATTATTGTTGTTATTAAATAAATCAGTCCAACTTTGATTCAATAGAACTTTTTCTAAATGCTTTGCGCAGAACAGAGTATCATTCTTAGCTCCGTAGTCTTGTAATTTGATATCAAATTCGATGCCCAGAATATCGCGATTATTATCTTTGTAAGTTTCGTGTCCAGGCGAGAGAATAGTTATGTTTCTATTGTTCGGTTGGCAATTATTTCGATAGGTTGGGAGAAATTCTGTCCTTAGCCACTAATTAATACAATAACCAATTGTTAATTTTTTAACGATTTTATATATAATGAGGAAATATTTTTAATTGACCTAATTTTTAAAAACTCTTAACGTCTATCTATCTTTTAAGCATCTAAAGATGCTGGAGACAAACTAAGAGAGAAACAAGATAGAGAAAAGAGAGGATAAGTTCTATTTTAAAAAAAAATAAATTACAGCACATAGTTAACTTCGTTCAGCGTTTTGGCTTTTCCTCTTCCTAGTCACTCAATACCTTATCTATAAGAGATAAGGAATAAAACAGGGAAGAATAAATGAAAATTACAGAAAGATCTAATCTACGGGGTAACTTATGGAGGGAAAGTATTAAAAAGATTTATAATAGACGCCATACAAGTCAAGATAAAGATGAGAAAAGAGTAATACGAAAAACGTGAATAAGAGAATGGTTAAACAAGGGAATAGGACAATATGAAACATTTATTAAAACCTTATATACACAGTATATATACTGTAAATTTTTTTAGAGCACTACCGATATGAGTAGGCGTTGAAAAAAGAAATAAGGAAATTTCTTTTTTGTAGTGTCCTACTTCGAAAATCTTTAGAATATTGAAGAGAGAGAGAGAGAGAGAAAGAGAGAATGAAGAGTATGGAATATAATAATATTATTGGTCATACTCATTTAATAATAGAAAATAAAAGATTATAAGAAACATATTTTAGATATTTTAGACAATTTGAAAATTATTCACCAGGATGTAAATATATACAAATAGTGTATACAACTTACTTTTAATAGAGAAACTGTATAAAACGTTCGGCAATAGGCTGGATATTGTCCATTCTTATTTTCAAAATTTAATGAATAAATTGTATCATAATAAATATCGACTTCTGTTCGACATCTTGAAACTGCAATATATAAAATGTGAAGTGTCAGCAAAAAAAAAAATTTCTTCTATTGGCTAATACAGTTTAGTTTTATAGATTAATAACATAAACGGTTCTTAATATTGTTGAACTTAAACAATAGTTAAATATATTGAAATGAAGTAATATTAAATTGAAAAAAATACCTAGGAAAGTAAAATACAATGGTATCAAACCAAAAGCAGCTGTACTCTTCATTTCAAAGAAATAATCCAAGATACTTAATTAATGAATGAGATAATATCCAATCCTTTACACCTAGAGATGACATCTTCCTTTGAAATAATACTTGTACCGGCTACAAATAATAGAAAAGTAATGTTGATTTATTTGGGCGTAACCACAACTGGTAAGATCAGTGAACTTGTTGGACAGCCTAAAAACTTCACATCCTATCTAATGTGTGCGCAAGAAATCTCCCGTACATTTCGAAACTTTGAGGTCATTTTCAACGGTACTAACTTTCCTCTCTAACCCATTTTGTTTCGAAAATGGCTTCCCTATATGAAATACAAAACAAGCGCCATTTTTATATTCTGTTTGTAGTTCTGTAATATCAATATTAGGCCTTTAAGAGGCCTATGCGAGCAGAAATCCTGCTTCACAATCATCTTATGACGTCACGAAAGCAAAGCCAATGGAGAGAGTTTGAAAAGAATTGAATAAACGATGTTTAAGCAGATACATATATATACAATACAAATAATTTTAAGAAATATAGACATTATAACAACAAAATTCTTTGAACTCTTGAAAAAAAAAACAGTAATAATAATGCATATATTAAATATATACAGTATGACTTAATTTCAAGTATTCGTCATCATAAAACAGTTTACAGAATGAATACAATTTTTTAAAAACGTTAAAAAAACATCTTAATATGTAAAAACAAATAAAATCAATATTTTAAGTATTTTTTGATTAGAAAAACTAAATGAAAAAATATTTTCAGATTCTTAAAAACATTTTGTTTTTTTTAAAAAAAAACAAACGCAATAGAAAAGTTTTTTTATGAAATTTTCATTTCGACTAAATTCTTGAATATCAAGTAATTCAAATCCATATACCAAATAGCTTATCATCAAGATTAAATGGACAAAATGATAAATAAACGATAATAAATGAATTAAAAAGAAAAAAAATATGTTTAAAATTATGGATAATGATAGAAAGAATAGTTGTAGAAAGTTTTAATGAGAGGTTGGTGCAATAATGTTATCTTGACTACTTCCGCCGGATAATCTTCTCTTTAGAAATTTTCCAAAAGTTTCATTCTTTTTTGGAGGAGCAAAGAGTTTTTGTTCTTTTGTCTTGGTATCAGTTGTTTTTATCATATTTTCTTGTTCAACATTGGATACTTTTGGCTGAACGTTTTGTACTGAAGTTTCTAAATTATTTGCAGTTTTGGATATTGCTTTTTCAGCTGGAAAGCTCAAAAATGATTTAATTATTTCTGCGTCGCCCGCTCGCCTTTTATTATAATTTATAACTTCGGGACCAATTTTCTTAAGAACTTCATCACTGGAAAGCAGTCCCGTTCGCTTATTTATCGTTCTATTTGGTAACTCTACTTTCTCGTTCTTCGTCTGTAATGCCGTTATACATGGTAAACTTTCAATTCTTGAAAGACCCTTTTTCGGCTTATTTTCAGCTAATATTTTGATATCCTGCAGGCTACCCCGTCTAGGCATTACATTTTCGGGAATGACTAGTTCAACTGAAGATGGCGCCAATGAAGATATTTTTTCTCGAGTTTTCGGCGTTATGTAAACTGCTTCAGGAGAGTCTATTTCTCCCGCCGACTCATTTCCAGAATCATTATCATGGTCATGCTTTAGTTTTTTTTCATAAATGGTATCCAAACGCTTCAGTTGCTTTGCAGTTAGCATGAGCGAAGCAGTATCAACACTTAGAGCTCTTGCTGAACGAGGCAGCAGACTAAATCTATTCACCGAGTCAGACATCCCTTGAATCTGCCAACAGATTAAAAATGCTATGAGAAACAAGTTCAATAAACGAACTAAATACTATTTACTATATGTCCGTCATCGAGGCGATATTTTCCCATTGGCGCATGCGTTTCGGTGAATCCAATTTTAAACAACCCGGTTAAGTTATAATAAATATTGACCTCTAGTAATAATTACATTATACGCGTGTATATATACAGTATATATACAGTTTTTTTTTAAAAAAAAAAACAAGTAAAGGATAAAACTGTAAAAGAATCCATTTAAAACTAATTATAACTCAAAACATTCTATTGACTGTTTAGTAAGTTTCATCGAACAATTCTTCATATATTCATTCAAAACATTTAACAATTCAAAAGGTCATTTTTATGAATGGGGGATAAGGTTGAAAAATCATATATATATATATACATGTTTACAAAATAGCCTTAAAAATACATTCATATACAATTTAACTAGTTTTTTTTTCCATCTAATTACTTATTAATAACTTTTTAAATCTATTATACAAATACCCTCCATTTTAATGGTATGATTTTTTTTTTAAACTTGTTTATGTATCTTTTGTTCATTGATTTATGTATTTTTTTTTTCTTTATATAGAAACCTTATGCTGTTTATCGCACAAACAATATTCAACTTTACGAATTGAAAGCTTGAATTATCGTTTATACTACGATCATAATACTATTAATATTCATGACGATTTTATCGAATTATCACTTTTTTGATTGTAATTTTTATAAATTGAATTAACTTGTCAACTTACCAATAGAGGTGAAGAAGGATCGTAAATTTAACACAACTTGATTTTGTCCAAAATGTAGGTATCAGCAAGAGCATTCTAATAGATAGACCATCTTTTTCAGACGTTTGTCTCTAACGTTACTGCGCTTTACGTCAATAATTTCACATCCGATACTCTAATTCCTTTCAAAATCAATTGGATGTTAATTGTTAATTAGCTAAATATAGCTGAATACTTACGTTTTGAATGGGTTTGCAGGAAGTACAGTGTGTTATGTTTTCAATACAAGCAAACTGCGCATGCGTAGTTTTCATTATACGGTATTTTGGCACCTAAGACTTTAGATGGCAGCACGATAGAAAAAAAAGTTTCACAAATTCGTCAATTCCGGAAAATAGGAAGAAAGTCACGCATTAGATCGGAAATGACACGCTTTTGTTAAATATAGTAGGCCTATTAAATTATATGACTAAGCAAGTTTTCCAACGTCTATAGGGAAGTCAGCGTAATATGAGAATTTTATACCATTAGCACGGTAAAAGGAAAGAAAGAACCCTTCACTCGAACCGGTCATTTAGATTTTTTTGAAGGAACCAAAATTCTCTTATTCTATTGCAACAAGTTAATTTTTTTCTTTCTCTCAAAAGTCTATAAGAAAATAAAATCAAAGTTATTATTTTTTTTTATAAAAAAAAACCCAAATTACGTAATAAAAAAGTAAATTTTTGACAAGTTTATTTTTGTTAGAAAGCGAAAAAAATTTTTTATTACTGAAACAACTGCAGATTGATTTGTTCAACAATGAATTTATACAGTATATATACTAATATATATATATATATTGTACATCCATACAGTATATTTATATACTGCAAAAATAAAAAGAAAGAAGAAACCATTAAAAAGAGAAAAAAAAGGGAAATATTAAACGAAATACGAAGCGTTTTTTGTTGGTGATAAAATAGATTATAAACAACAAAATAAAAAGAAAGAAGGAAAACAAACAAAAATAAAACACACATTTTGCAGTTTTTAATTACGTCCTATAGTCCTATAATCTGAATTCTGTTCTGTCTGAGTTTTTGCAGACGCCCCCGCTTAATAAAGCAATCCGCCTTAAAAATTCATAAGACTTCGACCCTTATCTCCCCTATTCCTCAATAAGTTTTTGCTTGCTATGTTGTTTTTTTTGTTTTTTTCTTTTGGATTATTATCATTTTAATTATCCACATTTATATTATTTATATTGTTTTATATTGTTTCAGGTCTTTGTAATTCTATTGGATTTATCATGTTTTCTTTTTTTCTCTCTATCGTTTGTATATAATGCTCTCCTTTTTCCCCCTTCATTCCATCTCTTTATTCTTTAATAAATCTATTAACTCTTTATCGTTCGGGATTTACTGACATAGTCATTGGAGAATTATTACTACTCTAAGTCATCCTCGTCAGGTAATATGATCAAATGTGCAAATGGAGATTCATTCTGATGAAAGACAAACAATTAACGATTGTCTAATTAATTAGATTCCTTCAGAATATATCTTATTTTTTTTTCTTTTCTGGTTCAAATGACGATAAAACATGCTTTTCCTATTAATGAAAAAGACAGGTGGAGAAGCGGAATAGGAGATCAAACGAATTTAAGATTATGGTCATTTTAGAGATTTTGGATTTTAGATTTGATAACGTTAAAACTTTTGATATACCATAGGTTACCTAGCTGTCGCATAAACGGAAATAAGTGTAATATGCAAGAAAGAATTAAGAAAATCCGTATTATTCCTGGGCCAGACGATTTCCGAATATAAAGTTCACATGAATTATGCCTGAAAAGGTCAAGACAAAATGTCTTGAGAAGTTTGTATGTATAGAAGGTAAAAGGTCTATTGAAGAGATTATAGAACAAGGGATAGACTGCCAATTTGTAAAGTAATAGTCTTTAGCACGAAGGCCTTTTCAACGTTAAAGGCAAGTCGTAGATGTATGAGCTGAGATCAAAGATGCACAAGGCTATGAAGTAAAACAAACGCTTATCTCTATAAACTTATTTTTTCTTCGAGGTTTGAGTAAAAAGTATCATGTCGATACAATTCACAACTTCCGCTTTTAATGTAAAATATTCCATATACCGCAATGTAATAGCACGATAATTCCTTGTTAAAAAGCATCTTTCACTCTTTGTTCTTTCCTAGTAAAAATAGAATATGAAGCATTGTAACATTTCTCCATATGCAACTCTTTCCTGAATGTCTTTTCTTCTTTTATCAAGTAATTAATTTTTGTAAAACAGACTCGGAAGATTTTCGAGTAGATGGTAAAGTGAGATAATTGATGACGATGAAAAAGAGAGAGAGAGTTGGAGAGAAAGATGAGAGCGCCAATGAGACAGAGAGAGAGAGAGAGAGAAAGAAGAACAATTGTATGTAAATCATGAGTGGAGAAGATTTCTTGCTAATCCAATATTGGAATTAGAGATATAGACTCTTCGTTTTGGTTTTTCCAATGATTTTCTTCTTGAAAAGTTTGTTACGATGGACGATACTTCCTTAATAGTCAGCTGTTCCTATATAATTGTATAAAATTGTGCTCGTTGGAATTCTGACTTCCTGAATAGTGTGTGACTAAAGTATGGTCGTGACCAAATTGTCCTCCACGAATCCTCAAGAAAGGACAACACTTGGAGCCAAAAAAACGAAAGAGAGCTTTAAACGCTCTCCTATACGACCTGTTGAAAAAATAATAGAGAAATGGTGATACGGCTGAATTAGCGTAACCGAACCATAAAGCCGTTTGCCAAAAACCACTGCCAATTGTATAATCCAAGAAAGGATCAAGAACATTCAAAATGAAGAATGGACACCAACAAGCGCAGAAAACACTCATTATAATACTTAATGTTCTAGCTGCCCTCGTCTCTCTTCGAAGTTTTTGTTGCCTAGTATCTGAACCTACACATGTTGACCTGATAGCTTTCGCTTGTTTTTGTGCAACGACGAAAATTCTAGCATTGAGCAATCCCATGAATACAGCAGGAGCGTAAAAGGCTAGGGTTGAGCATATTACTGCGTAAACCTTATTGACGAGAAACACGCAAGCCTCTCCGTGGTCTGGAGTCTTTTCCCTAACCTTTTTCTCAATACCAACGACATGCCAGTTTTGGGTTAATGGTAGGAAGCTCATTAACGTAGGCATAGTCCAACAGGCAAAGAGAAGGCAAACGACGCTCTTTTTAGTAATAATAGAAGGATATTTAAAGGGCGTGCAGATGGCAGTGTACCTGTCACAGGCAACGCAGCACAGATGCAAGATGGAAGACGTGCATAGCCAAACGTCAAAACAAGTAGCCAGAACACAAGCAGTTTGACCCAGTTGCCACCTAAGGCCCGCCATCAATTGATAAGCTCCTACTGGCATAACTAAAACCGCAACTAAGAGATCGGTAACGGAAAGGCTGGCGACGAAGGCATTCGTCAAAGTTCTTAATGAACGAAATCTGCAGATTGCGAGTAGAACCGTGAGATTACCGGCGACTGAGATGAGCATAACGATCAAAACGAGGAAGAGAATGATTATGGAAACGGCTAATCCATAGCGGACAGGAAGTTCGCCGGGAGGAGACGTTGTCCAACTTCCGTTTTCCGTTTGCATTATAAGTCAAGTGGAAGGAAATTTCTGTTTCATGAAACATCTTTTTAGAATCTGTATCATACACATTCCTATATTCTACACAAAATTCTAACGGTATTCCTAAAAACACTCCTTACAAAATTACATATAATATTGATTTTATCGTTGTAAAAGTAGGGAAGGAGGGGAGGAGGAGGAGGAGGAGGAGGTGATGGTGAGGAGTCGAGATAAAAATATTGTACGATAATCGCCTCCGGCTTAAAAGGTATATAGAGACGTAAACAAAATTATATTTATATTAAATAATTTATCGTTATACGGCATAAGGTCTATGCTTTAAATGGATAAGAATACATCCTCTTTACATATTTATAAATATTAAAGGGTATTTTAATCTATAGACCGAATATAAAAATAGATTTTTGTTTCTTTCGGCATCTTTTAGGGAAATAATATTTTAATTATAGTTATCTGTCTTGAAACTTTAATAATTAATAGCTTAGAATTTACTTATTATTGATTATAGCATTAAAAAATGATTAAAATGTACATATACAAATATACAGTATATATACAGAGACTATGTTTACTATTTGCACAGTAAGTCCTGTATTATATACATTCGAATAAGCAACATATAGTTTATATATAGTATATAGATATATTATATTTATGTATTTGTATATATAATTGGAAAAACCTATTGAATTCAAAGGTTATTCCATCCTTCGGCAAATAGAATCTTACAAATAACGTAACTATATCGTGTTACAAAAGTCTGCTATATTTTCGCTTTTAACTGTTGAAAATATCGTTTGAAGTGGTTAGATAGAGACTAGTCTACGCCCTTTTCCTTACAAATCTTATTAAAACAATAAGAAACAATACTTTCCTTTATACCTCTAAAGGAATATTTTGCTCTAATCAAAAGCGTTATATAATATTTCTATATATTTGTATACAAATGAATATACTTTACTGTATATATACAGTATATACATTTTAAGTAGATTCTATTTATACTCCACAGATATATCTATACACGAACACACGCATAATAAATAAAATGTATAAGTCGTTTACATACTTTTTAATTATTAATTGAGGAGAAAAGATAAAAATGAACTGGTTTATTGTTTAATCAATCAAATATATGAATCTACATAATAAAAATACTTTCTAACGTTTGTAAAGTTGTATATAGAGTATGAAAGAATATTCATTGTATAATATTTAATAAAATAACAAAGATACATTAAACTCATTCATATAAATATTTAATATTTAAATATAATTTTACTATGATGAATCATTTTTAAGCCTTAAAATGAAATTAATGATCTTTTTGGGTGTATTAGTTTAGGGGAAGAGAATGAAAGCTCCACAGTTATTTACAGTCTTCTGTTATTTGAATTGATAATTAGTATATAATTTACTTTTTCAATTAATATTGAAACCATTTCAAAAGTGACTTAATCTGATATAATATTATATTATATATAAATTTATATATATATATATATATATATATGTCATGGCCTATTTATAGAATAAATACGTGTTGATATAGGATAATTTTTTGTCAGTCGCTATGAACTTATATATATATATATATATAATATAAAATTAATCAATTAAAGAGCCTGCTGTCATTTTCCGCCGGGCTTAAACTATTTGACCTTAATTAAAGTGTTACAACCGACGTAATAGAAGTTCTTTTTTTATCTCTATCATACTATTTTTACTACCGTCATAATAATATACGTATTTACAAACTATTTCTACACTATTATATATTTAATAAGATATTAATTTTACAACTTTTTCCCAGTTTTCTTACCTCTTCGCGCCGCATTTCTCCTCTCAGCGCTTCGCTTGTAAACAAATAGAAAAACACACATTAAATGTAGAAGAAGTTGAAAACGACGTCTAGCGTCGAAAAAGTTGATTCGTCGAAAGGAGAATGATTATCATATTAATATGCACGCCGCATGTGTAAAACCTCTAATCTCCTTTTTACGTCAATGAAGGTGATCGATTTAATCTCCTCTTCGAACTGGACAAACCATGTAAAATCAATGATTTTTGCTCATCTATTTTTCTCAAATAATCATTTAATAGCTACTAGATGAAAGTGATAGGCTTTAGGCGTTACTTGCATAAATAGATGATGCGTGTTTGTAGTTAGCGAAATAATGGACCGATTAAAAAAAGAAAAGAAACTGTTAACACTTTCAAAATTGATGACTTTAAGCCTAGAGTCGGTAAAGAGAAAAGGGTGGGGATCAATATAAAAAATATTCATAACTCTATCTGAGCATCGATTTGCAGTTGATCTGCAATCACTGCAAGCTCTATTTACAATGAATTTTAAACTTGTTTATTCACTGTTTACTTTCTATTTCTCGAAATGAAAAGTGAAAAATAAAAACCAATATAAAAATCATCTTACTATTCAGCCATATCATTCTCTTTCGGGTTTCCTACTCTTCTTCTATTATCTTGTTTAGCGATTGTCCACCTTTTCAAAATCTATTTAGGTCCTATTCCACAAAGGTCGAAATTTATTGAGTTTCTCTTTAAAACTCGCCGCACTAACTGAGCAGATTTTGTTCCTGTTGACTATAAATAAATAATTTTATAGTATAATAAGAGAGCGAGCATATATGATCTAAAATGGATCTATATAAATACATACAGTATATATGCTGTATATATATATATATATATATATATGTGTGTGTGTAAGACAATTCCATCCAACCTTTTCTAGGATAAGAGCGACAAGAAGAATATTTTATATTTAATATAATTACAGGATTATAATTGTTTCAAAGGGAGGATTTAACATTAAATGATAAAAATCCTCTTTACGCATTTTTTTACACATAAATTAAGAAGCTTATTTCGATCACGAAAGTTGTCAATTAATTATCGAAAAATATAATCATTTTTCTAAGAACTTAATGAATAGAAGATATCTGAAGTAATAGAAGATATTGGATAATAAGAGATAAGTAAGGTAACGAATAAATGTGTAACATTGCCAATGTTGATATCTTCTATGGAAAAAGAAAAAACGAAAACTACATATAAAGGTACAAAAAAAGAGAAAAATTGATAGAATAGAGGGCTTTGTCCTCTTTATTTTCTATTCTTATTGCATATTTAAAAAAAAAGTTAGAAATTTTCCCAGTTTCTAAGCCTTTTCTTTATACTTCTAGATACATTCCTGTTTTTCTCTCTTCTCTTCGTTTCTCCTTTTCATTCTTTACCTATTTCCTTTTATATTAACTTTGTTCTACCTTTTCCTATTATTTCAATTCTTTTACCTACCACTCTCTCTCCCCACTCTCCATCACTAACACACCCCTCTACACCTGTATTTAAAAAATAAAGAAAAGAGACAAAAGTTGTTTTGAAAATTCTCTTTTAAATAGAAAAAACAAACTTGTAAAAACTTGCTACCAAATTATCATTGATCTCTATTGTTAAAATATTGTATTGCCATAATTTAGACAGACCTCGTACAATTTGTTTTATTTTACTTAAAATGGTAAAAAAAAGAAACATTTGATTAATGTTTAACTTGCTGTTAACTTGTCATTTAGTTTAGAGTATATAATGAAAAAATAAAAATAAAGAAAACACTACCTACTTTGTTAAAAAGTAATGTTCTCTTCTGTGGTATTTTTTCTGACAGAAAAGGGAAGTTATTATAGGAGATGGAAGTGTGTGATGAGGGAAGAGATTCCTCTCTATACCTAAAATTAGACAGTATTAAGTATAGTTCTTAAAGAAAAAGTTTCGAGCAGAAGTTTACATATAAAACTTTTACGTCTGGCAGGGAAATCGTCCATTGATTGGGTGTGATCCTCAACCACTCTGAATATAGGTCTATAAGGAGGCTTTTTAATACTATTTTCGTTGAAGAGATTGGTTTTTTTCCCTCCCATTGCCTTTTTTCTCCCTCTTAATACTATCTAGTATAGCCCCTCGCCCTCCTTTCCCCCTTTTTTCCAGAACGTTTTGGAAAGGTGAGAAGGAATAACCTTGATGACATGTAGGCTAGGGGGATTACGCGTATTATAAAGAAGTGTTACTAATAAGAACTGTCTCGTTATTTCTCACTCACTAACAATCCATGTGACGTTCGACCGCCGTATGCTTGTCAATTACATAATATCGTGCCTAATGCTTATCTAGTTCACTCTAAAAAGTACCGTTACTGAAATTCAGGTTTATATGTCAATAATTTCTTTAGAATTTTTCCAGTCACGAATAGGATAATGTATATAAAAAAAAAACAAATTCGTTTTTCACGCTTTCAATCACTCGGAACCTTCAACTTATTTCTTTCGCTCAGTAAACTAAAGGTGAAGTATAAAAATCTTAGACGCTCCTGATTATACCTCGTCACGAACTTCTCTCTTCTTTATACTGTATGATAAAAAAATTACAGCGAATCCAATTAAACGTCACCTCGTTTTAACTGTATATATATAAAAGGCTATTTTACTTTCATTTCTTTCCAGGCGTTATATAAAAATAAACACATACATCTATATTAATAGAAGTATTTTTACTTTTATTTGTTATTATACTATATATAACTTTTACTTTATATGTTTCTTTCTAGACTATTTCCTTCTGCCAAGTTTGCTGTTTTTATCTGACATTCTTTTTAGTATATCTTTCACAAATTGAACAAGGATACTATTTTAAGGGAAAAAGGGCAGTTGAAGGAAAAAAGATAGGAAATTAGTATCTTTTAACTTTTTCAATTAATTGTATAATTTATAATAAAGAAAAAAAGATATTAAAAAACTAACAAAGCAATAAAAGACTTAAGAATGTAAAGTAGATGGTCGCTTCCTTCTTTTCTTTTAAAATTCTTTCACAAAACTCCTACTTCTCCTTCTTCCTCTTTTTTATTACTTTATTAGCATTATTTAAAGAATAGACGCTTGTTCTATAAATAGAACACTTTCATAAAAAAGTTATAAAAAATTATAAATAATAACTAATAAACAATAGATAATTAGATAAAATTCCATGAAATTTATTAGGCTAGAAAATGGAACAAGAGAAGGATAAAGAAACAATAAAAAAGAAAACCGAAGAGATATCTACAAAAGGATGTTTAACAGTAGTTGATGGAGATTGGCGTGTGAGGGAACGACTTGCATGCATCAGTTGTGTCAGCTACTAAATATAGAAAGAAAATTTTTCGCTTTTGAAATGAACGAAAAAAGGGATGATTATCTGGCTATAGACGTCAGTATAGGGTTTTATCTTTAGCTGTAATCGTGACTACTGAAAAGGCTATCCGTCGTTTGAAATGTTTCATTTAATTAAGTATCAAGAGTTCTACCGCTATTTGTATATACACTTGACTTTGGCCACAAAGTAATTGTGACGTCATTGAATTTAAACGGATTTTAAATGCTTACGATCGGAGGATAATTGAAACAAGAAGCGAAAGTAGGAGAAAAAATGGATAGACTACGAGCGATATTGAAAGGAAAATGCAAAGAAATAGATCTAACAAGGTAAATTTCCTCGAGATTGATAAAGAAATAGACCGAAATTTTAGACAATCCTTTCAAATATTTTCTTAATAGCGCCGAACTGTTGAAGCTTTTAAAATGAAGAAAAAAATGTATAAGAGTAGAGTATATTCTTGCTTTCCAGGGTATTACCCCATGCATCTAAGTAATGGAAATACTGGATTAAAAAAAAACATAAAGAAAAACACAGCAGGGAACGTGAAAATGACACAATACCGTATAAACGTTAAACACAGCCGTCTATTTCTTAACGTTAGTTTACCCTTACTTTTTTTAATCATATTAATCTAACTCGTTCCTAACTCAAGGCCCCTTTAACCTTTATATAATGGCTCATGGGTTATTTCGTTTTTAGTCTCTTCTGGGTAAAAAGAAAAGCTAAGGAATCCAATGATGTCGAATGTTAAAGGAGAAGCGGACTACTATATAGTTTTTAAATCTCGTTCTATTTGTAAGACTTCTAAGAAGGTCGCAGGAAAACGCTTTATGCACCAAACAACAAAGTGTAGAATAAGCTTTTTACAAAAACCGACAGTAAATTTGCTGGCGGCAAAACAAAGTTACACGGTCGATAGAAATATCTAATATTTCAACAGCCCCTCCCCTCCTTCCTCCGAAAACACAAAAAATTAAGTAAAGATAAAAACAAAGTTATAAATAAAGATCTATCCTACTATTTCAAAAGTACTTTTGTTTCAGAGATGCCTTAAAAACGAAGAGGGAGGGGGAAAAGAGACGCTTTTATTTTGCAGGTGGTAAGACAGACTTGATATATTTTTCCTCGCAATGTTTCCGAGAAATAAGTTTATATGTAAATAGAAAAGAGCTTATATTTGTTGAAAAATTGGGCTTAATGTTTACTCAACAACCAGAAAAGCGTTCAAATTAAAATTAATTATGTAAGTACGTGTATTTATTCGCCTAACCATGCAAGTTTTATTCAATTATTTATTATTACAAGTAAAAGGAAGCAGAGAATATAAATAATAAAGAAAAAAAGGAGAAATAAGCTAGAACAAAAACTAGGTCATCAAAAAATAGTCATAATTAAATTGCATTTATATTTATACTATGTTATACTGTTTAAAGGTTATTTTAAAATATTTTAATCAATATTATCTAATAAGCCTTTTAGGAAAGGAATGATGTAAAATTATCTAAAAATAAGGTCTTTACCAACTAAACTTAGCAGTCATTTTAATTAAGGAAATCGAATTACTCATTTACATCGTTAAAAAGTAGTTGTAATTGCCTTTCTAATACAAAATATATATAAATTATTCTTATTTTTTCTCTCCTCGTTATCCTTACGTAATCATTCGATTAACAACACTTTTCTTTATTATTATTTCTTTTTTATATATTATGTATATTAATGCAGTAAATTAGCAAAACTTACCCTTTTTTCTTTCCATCATTTTACACCAGTTTCTCTCGTTTCTTTCTATCTTATTAGACGCACACACACACACACACACAAACACTTTCTCAAAATCGTAAAAGATTAACCTTTTTTGATAAATAGCTAAAGAATATTTTTCTATTCCTTTTTTATAATTTTGTTATTATTTCACTAAACCCGATTTAAGAATCAACTCTATTAATATAGGATACATTTTCATCAAATATATTAGTTTATCGACATATATTACTCGTTATTTTTCAGTTAGAATGGAAAATGAGTTGAGGGGAAAGAGAAAAATGATTAAGAAATAGTACTCTAGAGTGAAATATATCTAGTATTTAACTGAATACGTAGTATATTCATAAATAACTAATAGAAGAAGTAAAAAGCAAATAAACTCCGGAGAGATTGGGAAAGGCGACTAGATAAATTTTTTTCCTTGTCGTTCGATTGTAATTACTAAGCATTAACAGTTTCCGGTCAAAGTCTCAAACGAACAAATTTTCTAGACTAATCGAAATACGAGGGGTAAATTTAACCGGAAGTTGAATACTACTTATCGATTGGATTATTATTTCTTATTTTATCCTTTTCTTTTAATGGAATAAGTTGCATAGGATTAAGGAACGAAATTGGAGATTTTTCTAATACTTTATTAGTTTTTTTTCGTTTCCTTATGAAAACTTCATCAAGAAATTTCCTCTCTTTACTTAAGTAAAATGAAATATTAAGAGGTATATGAATAAGGTAGGAGAATGAATATGACAAAGTAATTATTATGCAATACTCGGTTTATTGCTTGCAGGCAACGTCTTTAATCTGTATTGCTAATGCTATTAGGCGTTAGAGTGATGTAACGCTTCACTGACTTTTCCAGGTGATGTAAATTCGAAAAACGGCCTTGAAAAACGACTAAGCATTCCTTTTGTCAAGAAGAGACAATTAGTTTCTGCATCTTTTTGGAGCTTTCAGCGTTAATTGCATTTTGACGGGAGTAGAAAAAACGGGGATGGCGGGGGGCGGGGGGCGAAAGGGGAGGTAGCATATCTCATAAAATATCATTGACAATACGATTTATATTTAAAGCGACATCTGGCGTCTAAAAAAATACTTGTATAATAGATAAAAACTATAGAGTGTCTCGTCCCTTTCCTATTCCCTAAGTAAAAAATTATCCTTTGAATCTGCTTCCATTTTTTGCATTGTCTGCAAAAAAAATTCTTTTTTACGTGTAGTGGAAATTTCCTTGGGCCTAGGAGGGTTAAGTTTGTCATTTAGCCAAGACACAGTCTTCCAGCGTCTTACTAATGCAAAGTACATAAAAAATACGGCTCTGCCTCTTTGTAAAAGAAAAAAAAGAAAGAAAGAAATGAGTAAAGCGATTATCTAGACCTATTACCGTATATTCCAATAGTAAAAAAAAAGATTCATGCAACCCAATTATAATATTTGTAGAAGAGAAAGTATATCCGATTGCAGGGCTTAATAAAGTGAGTTGAATAAGATTTCCCTTTCTGTCATCTTTTTTTTTTCTTAAAAACCTTATTGGAAGTTTATTCTTTAAGAAAATAAAAAAACTAGGATTTTAGGTTAAGGGGAATGAGGTCATTGTACTGTGAATCTTACAATAAAAATCTCAAGCTGTTGCAAATAAGAAAGTCTTATAGAAAGTTTCAATTTTTCTCACTTAAACTGCTTTATTCATATATTTTCATTTTGTCACCCACTTAATCAGTTCTTTAGAAAAGTTAAAGCAAGATTTATATTTCCTTTAGATTTACATTTGTCATCCTGTCAATTAAGTACAGCTATATAAAGGGAAAAAATGAAGGAGAAATCGATACAATTATAACCTTAGATCAGTCAAGGCTAGCGCAGGTCGTTACGTTTCTTCGTCTCTGGGGGTTTTTAGAACGACCTAAAAAAATGCTTCAAGCTTAACCATTTATCAATTTCCCATTATAAAAACTTTACTCCTTCTTTAATCTTATCCTTAGTCGTCCCCTTCCGTCTCCTTCGGCTGCTATTATTACTGCTTCTTCTTCTCCTTCTCCTCCTCCCCCTCCTACTCCTTCTATGACATCCACTTACATCTTGGAAGTATCCTTTTACTACTTATAAATCCCCCGTCAACGTAAACTGCATGCTTCACTTTTTTCTATAAATTTCAATTCAACCCTGTCTCTTGTAAATTAAGCTTTAAAAACAGATAAAAGTTGAACAGAAGGACAAAGAGGACACATAGGTTAATAAATATTTAGAGATGATTCTTTCAAGGTTATTTTATTCAATTGAAGGTGAAAACATTATTCATTGCAAAGTACTGTTGTAAGTATAGTTGTTTGAAATAGCAAACAGTATTTTTAAAACAAATTTGTAGCTATAAGTTTCCCTTTAATAGTAAGGTCAACTAAGAGAGATTCTATTCTGTCTTCCTTGCTCTTTTAGACACCGTGTATACTGTATATACAGTATAAACGATTCTTTTCTCTTTAACTTTTCCTTCAGTTCTATCTTTAGCTTTTTTTATAATTCAGTTAATTAGTTTTGATTTACGGCTATAAAGAAGGCTCGCTAGGCATGGAATAATCTTCTTAGAAAATGCCTACCGGATGTAAATTCAATTTTCATACTTCGTCTTCGCTTTATTGTAGTTTGAAAGGAAAATCCTTAACAACGGTTTTGACTTTGATCTAGAAAACTCTATAATTTTGTTGTTAAACTTAAACGAGTAGTGTCTTAAATAAAGATATGATATAGATTTTTTCCTGCTTACTAATTATTAAAAGTCTATTGCAATGTCTTTTTTTATCCTTTATATGTTTCTTCTTTTCCTTCCTCTTCTTCATAATTGTATTATTCTCTTAACAAGGCTTTAGTGGGTTTCAATTTCGAGTCTAGACAAATAAAACTGGGTTCAAAGTATTTCCAAGAAATATAGGCCTAAAATAAATTACGTGTCAATTTTTTGGGCAATGTGATACGGGTAGAGGATGGCGTATGGATTATTAATCTAATACTGCGTAATAAAGTAGAAAATAAAGCTGAATTTGTAATGCATATATGTAATTTTAAAGAATATGATAAGATTTCATACAAGATGTCACTACTAAAAAAGTAAAATAGGAAGGATGTAATATAGATTTAAAAAAAAAGATAAAGTGTGTCATTAAACTTTCAATGAATACATCCGGGAAAAATATGATGCAAGAAGAGAGGCTTGTTTGAAAAGTATAAACAGTTTAAATGAGAAAATCTGTCTTTGTCAGTTTGTTTTTTTTTTTTACCAAAACCAAAAAGCAATCGGAATATAGCCAAAAATACTCAAAAAATCCGATTATAAAATGAGCTATGTACTAGTCGGAGCCAAAATGTTCACATCCCTATAACTTCCCATTTTAGATGACTGAGTCTTCGATTTTTGAGATACTTTTTGCAAATAGCCTACCAGGGAATTGCTAACAATCGATTCTAAATTTTCAGCACTCTTAGAGTTCGTTTCCCATAGTATACCACCTTCTTCTTTTAAAGCCTTCTGTTGATCTTCTTTAGCGGTTTGTGATAAAAAAAAGTTTCTGTAGTATTGAGAGAAACCAGAAGAGCAACTCTTCGGAGAAGACGCCAACGACGGTGGTGCCGATTTTGGTGCGCTGTCGAACTGTACTTCTAAAGTTCGCTTAGGTTTTGACATTCCTTGAATAAATTTATCTTGTAAAGTGTACTCTGTTTGAATAAAAAAACAAAAACAAAAATAATAATAATCAAATATAATCATATAAATTCTTAAATTAACTTTTTAATCGATAAAACAAGAATAAAGAAAAGTAAGTACCGTACTCGTAGTGTAAATTAGTCATAATAATAAATTATTATTAATAATCCTCAAAAAAAACGATAGTAAAAAATATCGATATAGATCTTCTCTTTAATTCTCTAACTAATTTCAATTTCAATTTCTTATGAAGTTTGTACAATTATCAAATTTATAAAAGAGAAAAGTATAAACAATACTCAGCGCCACCTACAGGTTAAGGTTATTTGGTCCAAAACGCACAAAGCAAGGTTAAAAAATATCTTATCTAGAATGTGCTCGTATATTCTATAATTATTAAAAAAAATCAAAAAAATCATATTAAACACTAAAAATGGTATAGTTGAATAAGAGCATTAGCAAATAAACCTTTTAAGTTTGGCTATCTACCAAAACCATATACGTTTATAAAGAAAACATAGCTGGTAGACCAAGTAAAAGTCGGTATTAAACTATGCCTAAATGACTGTTGTATTTACTGTGTATATCGGTTAAAATTGTAAATATCGTTTTGACTGTTACAACATAGGGGACAAAGTTAATAGTAGTAACTAATCGAAAGAACGATTATATCTATTGATTAAAATATTTAAAATAGAAAGAATAAAGGTTAATTATAAAAAAATAACTCCAAATTGCCTACTTATGTAATTGTTATATAAACAATTTTTCTATATCAAAAATCGATTAGGTAAGTTGTAAATATGCATTGTTTACCTATTGTGGAATAATGTCGTTTATCTTTGATCTTTTGTTGAAACCGGGTCAGGTTATAGAGCGTCAATACGTTTTGTTTAATTGATAAGAAATAGGTCTTTAATCAAGACTTGTATGATATAACTCAAGGTATATATAAAACTATAATAATTGCCCCTTTTTTCAAACTGTTAATGAACGGCGTTGCATTTTTGAAAGGACTCATTTATTATATTGTTATCATGAGTTACGGTTCGTTTATTAGGTTGTAATCGACTCCTCCCATTTTCTCTATTTATACTATACAGTCATTACGAATTTGAAAAGAAGGGCGGTAAGGGAAAAACAAATTTTCATCTATTACTTACAAAGCGTTGACATACCTTATCATAGTTACGCAACGTTTAATGGCATCTTTTTTTTATGAAGGAACGATGCATATCAACAGCGTTCTGCTTAATTGAGTGTATCGTTTTTACATTGAAAGGGGGAAGTAATTGCGTCTATTTTTGACAATAACGCCAGTCGCTATAAAGAATAAAGCGCTAATTGCTTTATTCGTCTCATTAACAAAACAACACGGTAAATGGAAAGATAAAGAGATAAGAAAAAATAGAAATATTACCATTCGATCAAAATAAAATATATAAAATAAAAAAGTACAATAGAAAAATAATACGTAAATAAACATTCGAAAGAACATTTATTCTGCTACTACTTCCTTATTTACCTGAATATATCCAAATGATGGAATTTTCTATTTTTACTATTCTTTTCTGTATTTTTCTCTTGAAAATATTTTAATAAATGTCGAAATTTTCTTATCAAAATGTCCCTATTTTCGTCTGCAGTTTTTCCTTACCCCTTCAATTTTATTTAGCACATGGCGGAGGTAATCGATAGACAGTAAAATCTATTCGATCGCCATCTCTTGGCTAATGGTTTATTTACTGTTTATAACGACATCTGCATGCTTTTATATCATTAATAATATATATACTATACATATATATATATATATATATATATATTGCTATTATTGAAGTATTTAAATATTTAAAATCATGTTTATGTTCATTAGTTGGTTGAGTTTGTTAATTATCTTCTTAATTGACCATAAAGTTTATTTGCAATCAATTAATTCGACTTCTCACGATAAAAGCCAATTTCTGGGACAAACTGCAAAGGGAATTTTTACTCTGGGTGGTTCTATACTAGGAATAATTTTACTGTTTGTAATCCTGTGCTTCCTTTGTCAGAAAATAACTAATACTCCGTTGAATATAGAAGATAGGACTGTCTTATTATTAGACCCTCATCCAAAAAGGTTATCTAAGAAAATGCCCTTAAATCCTCCGCAATATCCGCGTTCCGTTCCGGATGTCCATTGCCACCCGACCTTAGCTGATCCACTAAATTTAGAGGAATTAGTTGGAATGTATCCAGGTCAAATAGGATTAACAGTTCGATTAAAATTGAATTCTTTAGGTCGGTTTTTATTTCATAATATTGATATTTGATTGATTAGCAAAGATAAAAAAGACAATACTTAGTAATCAAAGTTCGTTGAATGTAAATAAGAGATGAGATCCGACCTAAGAGTTGCATTTGTATGACCCAAAGGAAGATAACCCAAACTACAATGAGAGACCTCTTATTTGGCTTAGAACCAAAAGTATTCACTTAGGTTTGATAACAGACGATGCGCAATACAGAAATAAGACCCTTATCCAGAGACTATTAGTCGATCCAAATTTTGGAAAGATATCAAGACGAGCCAGTATTTATCCGTCTGCCATATCGATTTCGGAGAGTAGGTTGGCCAGTAGCGATTTCGACTCGAGAGGACAGAATAGTTTAACCTCTTTAACAGAAATAGACAATAGTAAAATTCTCCATACGGGGAATTCAATTAAAGGAATATTACGTACAAAATCGTTACCTTCATTAAGTGAAGTGATTGAACACCAGCCGACGAAATTAGAGAGTTTTAGAGGGAAATTAAACATTCCCCAGCCTGGTTTACCTGTAAGAAAACCATTAACGGACACCCTACAAACACTAGGTTACATAAGAAACAATATGGGTCTTAAATCGGCCCTTACAGCGATTGGAAAAAGTGAAATAGGTCTCTTCCAAAAGAAAATATAAACTAAAACTTTTTCGAACGAGCCAATTGTTCGTAACGTGTTAATAGAAAAGAAAATATTCTCTTTTCTAATTAATTAGGCTTAATTATTTGTCAAACTAAATGAAATGTTTCTTTTTAATATGTATATAATTTGAAGTATATAAACAAGCAGGGGGTGGTGAGTAGTCTTAAGCGTGTGACTAATACATCTAAATTGCTTTTGTAAGGAATACGAGTCAAGGGGAAAAAAGAATAAAAGTTGCTTTTTTTTTTTAAAAAGAAAGTGAGAATTTTTCGTTTGAGCCCTTAGGGTTATTCTTTATGTCAAGTATAACGATACAATTTTATTATAGTCATATATACAGTGGCCAGGAATAAAAAAAACATTTAAACGTATACATACTGTTTATAAAGTTTATATCTATGCTCGTCTCTCCTAACATAAAGAGAGAAGGAGCCGATCGATCAACAAAAAAAAAACCCCATGACAAAAGACGAATTTGATAAAGAGGTTGAATTTTTAAACGACTTAACTGCATCTTATTCAATCGCTATATTGATGTATTGAAATCGTTGTACGATATCAATCGCTTAACGACCGGTTCGCCTATACAAATGACTATTTTCGCCCATTGAAAATTGGGCAGGTCGGTTCGGTGGGAGAGCGAAAAGAATAGCGACCGAGAGACGACTTTAAATGCTTGCAACCGCTAATTTCGTCACAATACATTTGTTTAGACGAACGCTCGGGGGTGCCGATTCAATAACTTCTCGCTAGTGTCAATTTTGGCGCCGCACGGGGGCGCATTCGCAGACGCAATGGCGCCGGACGAGGAGGCAATTTCAATACGTTCCACAAAATTTTTTCGCCCTAACTATAATTTACTGAAATTGGTGGCCTATTGAAATGACACCCCATTAAACTTATCTATCCAAACACTTATACGAAAATTAATCAGCTCATGAATATTATCATTTTTCCAACAATTTTCAAAGTTTTTTCTATTCATTTCCCATTCAAATCGTATTCTATGCTTGTTTGATGTTATTTTACAATAAACTATAAACCTATTATATTCTCGAATAGTTATTCTGAATAGAATTGAATTAAAGTTTATACAAATTACTGTTAAAAAAAGAAAGAAGAAGCATCAATCATCTTTAAGCCTAGATCTTGATTAGCGAAAAAAGAATAATCTCTTTATTATTTTTCCTATTATGAAACAGCTCGCATAATGGAATTACGAAATAATTCATTCTCTAAGTTAAAAAATATTTATTCAATTCTCTTAATCCTTTTATATTAAGTTAATTCAGTTAATCCAGTTTAAAAAGTCAATTAAAGTAAGTAATTTTTGAATGCTTCCATACAAAATCGCTAGAGCAATTAGTTTACGTTTTATTAAACTTTAATGAAATGGTTAATTTTCAATATATAGGCATAGATTTTTTTTTTGTTAGAATGGGCTTTTTGACGAATAAAAAACATATGAATGAATTTGTTTATTAGTATGTATATACTGCGTAGAAATATTTACTTAATTTTCCTTCATCCCTGTCATTAAAATAGCCTAAAATACAGTTTATTAAGTAAACAAGACTATAAATGTTAAATTTGTTGTTTTTGGCCCATTCACTTTCTATATTCAACCATTCTCCATCCTGTCAATATCCCCCTTCCCTCCCGCCTCTCTCTCTCTCTCTCTCTCTCTCATTTTCTATCGGGGTATTTATCTTTCCCCCATTCATTCAAATTAATTCCCTTTCTTTATCGTTAATTTGATTATCTTGTAACCTTATTCGTATAAGAATTGTGAGAAAAATACGATAATTGTCAAAGAAAAAAAAACCTATAAACCTTTCTATTTTTCTTCTCTTTCACTGATTTTAAATGGCATTTTAAAAGAAGAAATTAAACAGATTGGTCGACTTTTTAGAAATAAAAAATATATATACAAATATATATATATAGATATAGATATATTTGAGAGCTTTATTTCCTTTAGAATTCTATTATTACGAGTAGCTTTTGCTATTAGCCATAGAATGTTTAGTCATTTTTAGGTTAATTATAATAATTTGGCGTTTCAAGTTCAATATACAATTATACCTGAAAAGCTATATAGTCATTTTAAAAAATGAGGGGTTTTTTTATGCATTTTATTTCCTGCTTAAGCATTTTATATAACGTTCGTAAATTCTGTTCAATTTATTGTATTCAACCCTTATTTCATTTCGGCAATTTTAAAAAGGGGCTGAATAATAAAATGAGGGCGATATATAAAATGTAATAGCATGATATATATAATAAAGCAATTACTTTTAAAATAAACTGTATTTTTACATTTTTATACGAGGATAGGTATAAATCCCTGCAGTTTATAAATTCCTAACATTAACATACTTAAATCTGGTATAAATAAATGTTAGGATATAACACTAGTATAATTTTCTCGACCCTAATTATTTAAAAATTCGGCAAAACTGGCGATCTGTCGGCTAATCTATAGCTTAATAGATATGCGATAAGCGCAAGGCAATTTCCTCCTCCATCCGCCCCGTTTATAGTCTGCCGATGATTACTGTGAGTTCTTAAGCGAGCGGAATTTATAAAAAACACGTGCTCGGACTAATGACCTTCGCGAAATATCCTCTTTTTTCAACCAGAAAGCTTCCGGATTGGATGCTGCGCAATTCGGATAAGCGCCCCGAGGAGCTTTATCGCCTGCCATCTCGATAAGGCGTCGTTGGGTTACACTTATAAACCTTAAAAATGAGAAGGGAAGAGAGTAAAATCTTTTCTAAACCATTTTTCCTTCTACCAGACAGACAGGCTCATTTCCGCTCTGCTTCCCCTTATCTCGCCCACTTTTTGTTAGTCTGTCCGTTTGATACCTATAGGCCTATTTGTTATTTAAAAATTTTGATATATTATTATAAAGTTCATGCAAGGTATGATAAATATTATACGGGTACATATTAGACAATGTGCTTAGGCTTAATACGTATCTATTACCCTCTCTATTGTAAATGTATTTTGAGAGGACAAGGGGGGGAGGGGAATGAGCTTGATTCTGTGAAAAGTCTTTTGGCGATAATTGTTGCTGAATAAACGATTCATTTATTAACGAAGGTAATGTATTGTCGATAGTGCTATAAATAACCAGACAATTTTAATTAGGTATAATACAATTAAATAAATCTTTTTAATTCAGTGTTAAAAATTAGTCTTGGTCAATAAAATGGCGGCGTTCCTTTGTAGTTTTACTGTTTAAAGAGGCTTGTAAAAGAAAAATATATGTACGCATCGGGTTAATGCATCGGAATGTATGCGCGGCGTCTTTTTGAAATATTGGCTCTCAACGCCTAAACAATACTTTATAAGTGAGGGTTAAGTAGTGATGAAGAGTCAGAGTCATCAAAATCCCCTTTATCAAAGCCACTGATAACTGATCTCCATTGGGCTTCATCGTTATTTTTGGGAGGCGACGACGCGCTATTATGCACGCTAAAAAACGCGTGAAAAGGAATAAGGGACGTCCCTCAACCAGAACACAATTAACAAAAGACTAATTAACCTTTCACTTCGATTAACTGTATCAATAAGGTTTGACAAAAGGCCTCTGTGGGGTTTGGCCGTGGAGGAAACTCTTCTCGTTTCACAGTGGGTTACCTTTATCGAACGAGGAACTTTGAGCGTTTCGTCGAATAAGCAAAATGGCGATAGAATTTTCCAAAGGAAACCATTTTTATTATGAGCTTCAACAGAGATTCTCTATGGCGTCTGCTCATTGCTGATAGCCCCCGACGATTACCAAGGGACGCATTTAGACGCTCAAACTGACGCCTCGCTCTATTGGACGCATCTAATAAATGCTCTCTTTACTTGCCCCGTTACCGAATTTATTAGGCGGAATGTGGAATTGTTTTTAGCAAAGGTTGAAAAGTTAAACTAAGAAATTTATTATCTCTGACTAGGATGTTCTTAACCTCTTGAAGTCATCTTCTATACTGTTTTTTCTTTTTTTTTGGCATGATTTCATCGTATATCTTTTCTTTTAATTTCAATACAATTTATATACAAATCAAACAAATATTAATTCAACAATTTGCATCAAAATAGATGGTGTAATTATTTAGTTTTTAGTTTGAGACTATGACACAGTAATTGTCTATAGTTGGTGAAAAATATATAATTAAAACAATATTTTATCTATTTATACGTAATTTAAACTGTGTAATTATCTTAAAGATATATCAGTTCTAAGAGTCTTTCTGTCTTTTTTGCACAAGTAAAAGAATTGTCGTTGATGACGGTGACACTTTTATCTCTTTCGAGCCTTTATCCAGTTTTGTTACAAGAATAATTGATTATTTTTATTAGAAACTTCTATATATATATAACTAAAATATGTTTATATAACTTGAAGGAAAGTAAAGGCAATCAATTTCACCTTTTCAATACAATAATCATCCGCAAATTCCCTTGACTGATCTCTACCGATTCGAGCGAAAGATAGAGGCGTTTGATGGAGCCGCAAGCGTTTCCTGCTGAAAAATTAATCAAGGAAAACAGGAAATCAATGTTGGAATGACAGATGACGTAAAAATTAGAAAATAATAGATGAAAATCACTAGCAATGAACGAATAAAAACATCTTAGCGCCGGCTCAGCAAGTCACCTTCATATTGGCTCGCTTTGCGCCAAATTGGATTTTTATGAGTTTATTTGCAACGACGGCTAGTGCTGAAAATGGCTGTTAAAGATGCTATCAGCGTCTATTCACATTGAGCATAGAAAATACACATATTTTATAGAATTTAGAGAAGAAAGAATAAAAACATGGGAGGAACGGCAACGTTTAACAGCAATAAAAAGTCGACCGTAAGTGGTATACTTTATCTGAATCTTGTAAAGATCTAAAAAAAAAAAACACTGAATAAAAACTAAATAATAAAATAAAAAAGAAAAAAGTTTGGCATTTAGAATAACAGTAATTAAGCGAGTAAATAATTCAAAGCGACTCTATTATCCCATTAAGTGCGCAACTATAATAAAAGCGCGCCAAAACAGTGATTAAAGCATTGACATAGAAGCTTGTCATTTAAAGTAATTAGCTTAACAAAAGGCAAATCTCACGCGGTGTTTGTTGTATATTTAAAAGTTAATTAAACTCCGTGTGTTGCATAGTCGTGCATCGATTATGCATTTTAGTTAGATCGATTTCTGAATTGTATATAATTACTGTACTAAGGCCTTAATGTTTTGAATAATATGATTAATTTAACTGGTTTATTTCGGTAAAAAAAAAAAAGAATTTCTGGTCCAATTAAAATAGATCTCTGGAAGAGACGCACCCCACGGCGATCATATCTTACAGTCAAGATATAATCGCGCAATTTATAATCGCATTATCACGTGCCACAAACTTATAATTGATAAGCAAACAGAATTTGAGATCGGGCGTCAATTAAACAAAAACGTACCTATTCTACAGCAAATTGAAAAGATCTCAGGTAACAGTACTTCAAAAGGATCCTCCTAGTTTACGAATATTCACAAATCTAGCGAGCCGTGAAATGTGTTGAATGCTTGAATGAATACGTTTGTAGTGTTTTTGCTACGCTTTTGAAGGCGATGTTTTGTTATTCATAAAAGTTGCTGCTGAATTTTTTATCTGTAGGCGCGTGCTAGGAAGAGAAACAACCTTTTTGCAGGGTTATGTATTTTTCACATGGAAATATGTTGTGTAATAAAAACACTCAACCTTTTAATAATCGGAAAAGTTTTTTTGACCTCTTTTTTATTCTATCCTTTTCTTATTTATTGTGCTTAAAATTCTTCATTTCACTAGAACGTTTTGTATCCATTAACGAGAGATTCGCGTGAATTGTTAAATAAAAATACACTGAGTATTAAAACTCGACCTCGTCACTGAATAACATATAATTTAAATGCTTTCGAATTAATCGTAATTTTATACCTACGGCCCGCATTTATTAGAGTCTTTTGAAAGTAAATAGAAAAATGGTATATACAAAGTCGGGTATACGCAACAATAATAACAACAACAAGACATTTTTTTCTTATATATATAACATTCAAAAATCGTAAAAAAAGTCATTCAAAAGTGTTGTAAAGTTGATAAATGTTTGGGTAATTAAAGATCTCATTTCAGATATGACTATTCAAGATATTCATCTGAGCCTCGTCTGTAAAAAAAATAAAAGAGAAGAAAATAAAAAAGCATACTGTTCAACTGTAAAATGCAATTAGCTTTCTCAATAGCCAAAATATTTAAGCGGTCTTTTAATTGAGAGCATTTCGAAAATTAAACGAACCGCTCGTTATCGTCTAACAGAAGCATTGATCATTTATTACGTCATCAATGGATCGTTTAAATGCTCTCCTGCAGCCCTAAGTGGTATTATAATAGGCCAAATAGAAATACTATGCCAGCAAAAAAGTTACTCTTCCTATAATATAAAAATACGCAATCACAAGCTCTTATAAGGCTCAATTTCACACTGTATTACGAACACGGCATAGACCGAATGCTTTCCAGCGAACAATCAGCCAATCACCGGCCAGCAATTAGCAATAGCCAATCAGCATTCAGTTTGCGTTAGCTCCGCCCACACCTCTCAAGTTTGGGCTCGAGTGTTTATGTTGACATTTTGACTTTGGAACGCAAGCTTTGAAGAGTTCGACTATATTATAGCACTTCAGCTACTCAAGATATTCGCAGTCATTTTGAAGATACTTTGCGGACAACATCAAAATGACTTCAACCAAGAAACCCAAGTTATCATTCAGCGTGGATTTCCTTATATCCGACAGCAAATCGAACGAGAGACATACGGACGACAAGGAGAAAAGTATCAGAGATAACTCTAGCGAATGTAGCGATATTTCTCCCGCCCCAAGTCCGGTTAGGCAGAAGAACTTTTCCGTTGATGGATTGCTACAATCAAAAATGATGGGTCTCAATCCTTGCTGGCAAGCTGGTTTTCCTGTGAACCACTCTGGACCTTTACCCTGGTTTCCAACCCCCGCCTCTTTGGGATCTCCACCTCGTAAGTGTTTTTAAACGTCTTTTTTTTCTTTCTAACTTTCTACGAAATATGTTAATTACGTATTGAAATCTAACCATTGTTTTTAAAAACAGATCAAGGAACGCCGGTCTCATCGGCGGCACCAAGATTACCTGCAGCACCGAATAAATGCGCTTTGAGAAAGCATAAGCCTAATCGCAAGCCAAGAACACCTTTTACGACGCAACAATTATTGTCTTTAGAAAGGAAGTTCCGGCATAAACAATACCTTTCCATAGCCGAAAGAGCTGAATTCGCGTCTAGTTTGAAATTAAGCGAAACACAGGTAAATTCATTAATTCAATTAGGTCTTGTTTTTTAATGAGCAAAACATGCGGGCTTATTAACTAGATAAATAATGTCTTCACAAGTCTGTAACTTATCAATTTAATTTATCAAATCTTATCTAATTCATTCCTGTCTTCTTTATTCAGGTTAAAATATGGTTCCAAAATAGAAGAGCAAAGGCGAAACGATTACAAGAAGCCGAATTAGAAAAATTACGAATGGCGTCCAAACCAATTCTACCACATAATTTACCTTCATTGCCATTTAGCGGTCATCCCGGTTGGTTGCCAACGTCGACTAGTTTAAATCATTTTCCATCGGCGTCGCTCTACCCATCTGTTCCGCATTGACATGCAAAAAAACGGTTCTCTTTATGAAAATCATGGTGCTGTTATTTATTTGTTTCGCTTGACTGGCTTTTGTTGTGAGTAAAATGCAAAAAAATTTTACTATTTTTTACCCAAAAAAATTGTTGTTTGATTATCAATTTGCCATGCACATCTTGTATAAAGTTACTATTGTATAGTTGAAGGAATTTGCACTATACTGATGTATATATGTAAATATATGTATATGTATATATATGTATATATAGATATATACATATGTATATAAATATGTATTAAAAAGGAATAATTTTGAATAATTGGATATATATGTATATATATATATACATATATATCTTGAAACGGACACGCGTATGCATGACAATAAATTCCAGCTAAATTTAGCGTAAAAATTCGAAATTCCCGACTGACCCGTTGATCTGCAAAACTCATTGGCGCGAATTAATTTCTATCATATTCTACTCATCGGCGATAAACTTTGATCTCTTTCCTGTAAAAAGAGAAAATAAAAAAATATATAAATATACAGTATATACGAAAATGAATACTGAAAATAAGAATGATGGGAAGATATAATCAGTTTTGAATTTTTGTTCTCTATTTTAGTCTTTTTTTTATTTGAACCATAAACAAAAACTTAAGAAGAATTATTTAAAGTTTCAATGACGATAAACTTCTAAGCCAAGTTAGATATAATATTCCGCGTAGCTAACTTCATACGTCTGGTGATAATCGAAGTTTTTCTATACTTTGGTAAAGTTAGAAGAGTTAAATCAACTCCTTAAACTTGTGTTTTATTTTTCTCGTTTATTTTTTAATTGGTTCAATTCTCCGTTAACATATTATATATCAGAACCTCTTATAAAGTTTAGTTTAATCTTTTCTATTATATGACTAAGAATTAAGGATAAAAGTTGAACTATGATCTTTCATATACAATATTACGGAATTTGTACTCAGCGCAACACCAACTACTTTATAAATAGGTCCGGTAGCCAAAATGGAAAACAAAGGGGTATGCTTAATTAAAAGCAAATGTTATATATAGCGTAATTTCTTAACAAATGCCAGCATTAGCCCGAAGGTCTCGCGATTTCGAACGCTTAGCTATTTTTCACGCTGCGTACAATTTGGAAGAGATTAGGAAATGAAAGACAGATTTCTTCACCGGCCGCCGGCCTGATAGAAAGTATGAATTATAAAAAAAGAGAAAACGGCTGTGTTACATAATATTTTAGAAAGAATTAAATTGAGTATAAACAAAAGGCTTGGCAAGTAAAAAAGAGAGAGATCGAGTCTATGGGTAGTAATTAACTAATTAACTAATTTTTGAATAGTAGTTGTAAAATATAAAGGATTGGAGAATAAAAGAAAAGACTGGGTTTACTTTTCCAATAGTGTAGTTGACGCGCCCTCCGGGCTCTCTTAGTTAAATTAAACGTATCGAGTTAATTGTTCTATTGTTAGAATACCCTAGCCTTTATTCTTAGAAAAGGGTAATCGGGGAAGAAAGAGCGAAATTTCACACACGAGGATCCTCAAAAGTATCTTTCAAATCCCCGAAGCGTATCTGGTAAGAAAAATGCGGCGTTCACTTCAAAGTCGGCTACTTTAACAGCACACTCTCTCTTATCTGGTGTTTGTTCGATAAAGATAACGGACGTGGATGGTGATTAAGCGAGACGGTTTCGGAAATTTTAAGCGCGTGTGCTCCTTAATTTTGTTTTTATGTAGTCCTTTAAAATAGAGTGAAACGTTGCGATATTTACGTAACGCCTAACCGAATACAATTGGCATGTAATTCAAAACGTAATTAATGAAGCCTAACGCGCTAATCACTATTAACTCTCTTTACTTCCAAACTCTACCCAACTAAGTCTAATAGGCCGACAAAGAAAGTCACTTTATACAAGCCTAGTTTATCAAGGACGGGAAGAAAGAGCAAGAGAGAGAGGGAAAGGGGGGGGAGGGGGGGATATTCCACTAGTCATTTGTCACGATTTCATTTATCACCTAGCGTTTTGAATAAAACTTTTCTAAGCCTATTTAAATACAATTTCAATATACCTAAATAACATTTTTAATTCAATTACATCCTTTACCGTTGGTTGTATCCCTTTGTTCCGAATAATATGATATTTGTCATCTTTCTGCTCTTTTAAACGTAAACACATATTTAAAATGTGTTTATATTAGCAGCGAGAAAAAAGGAGATTTGTTCACGTCTGTTGCAAAACGAGATAGGGGTTAAGGGAGAGAGAGAGAGGCGAGATAGACAGAAAGAGCGAAGGGCCAGCAAGCAAGCGAACGAGCGAACGAGAGAGAAAAAACGCGCGCGCTCGCGCAAGACAGAGAAAGACGGAGAAGTGGGGGGAAAGGAAAGGGAGGGGGGGTGTGGTGCGATAGGGTTAGAAAAATTTTGGGGTGGGGTTGCAGGGGGAGGGATAACAGTCTTTTTTTTAAAAATTGCCTTTCTTAAAGCTAACACTCGAAGGCACTCATGAGTGTAGCAGTGTTAAAAATTTCGTTGATTTATGTTATAGAATGAGTGTTTTCTACTATTGAAAAACGAAAGTTAAATAGACTATATAACCCCCATTAGAAAAAAGTTAAAGAATAAAAAAAAGTCTTTACATATCACTTGTTAAAATCTACTTTCTATAATGTTATTCGAAAATTTATTATATAACAGCTAAGTACAATTTTATTGTGGTAATTAACCTCATCTGTAGCAAATTTTTACATCTTGCTTTCTTCTCAGTTTGCTATTGATATATTTATAAAAGAAAAAAAAATAAAGATAATCCTAGTTTAATAAGCCTATATAGTATTTGTAATACTCGGATATGTTTGTCTTTCAATTAGGCCTTAAAAATTCGAATGATAAATAAGGGTCAGTGCAATATTATTTAAATAAAGTATAACTATTGCAAAATTACTATGGCAACAGCTAGTCTTCTGACTGAGGGAGGTATGATGAACGGTTTTGAGAAGAAATGGATTGATGTGATAGCGTGAAGGGTCGTCGCCAGCGGTGTAAGCGTACGCAATAAGATTAACCTAAATGTATAAATAATATAGACCCGCTACATCTTATAATAAGAAATCTGGCCGCAACTTGCGCCCATACGCTACTATCAATTACGTAAACAGTTTGCTTTTCAAACGGAAAGACTAATGGTTTAATAGAGATGTGCAGACTCTGCCTTCGATCTAGCCGCATAATTTTGGATGTTTTGACTTGTGCCAGTTGTCTGCTTCTTCACCTGGTTTAGCGTTGCTTCTTTTTCTATAAATATATATACATAAGCTCATATATATCCAATCATTAAACAGACTTACATAGTATGTGTTTACATAAACAATAAAATTACAGAAGAATAATTTTTCCTCTCTTTTTCTTTGAATAATAACAACATGGCTAATTCTCAGAAAATCTATAATGCTATAAAGGGATGGAGAACTATATACACTTTTATTTTTCTATATAATTTATATACTCGCTTACACGGCAATATATAAGTTAGACAGTTAAAGTATATGGCGCATTCATAATATATGTACAAGTGTATAAATATATAAATATACAAATACGTATACATAGATGTATGTACCGTTCCTTATTATGTATATTTGTTTTATTTATAATGAAAAGGATTACTATTATTATAAAAAGTACAGTATTTTTTTTTAACCTACATTTTAATAGACAAAGAAAATGGTGAAAGCGTATAAAATGGGATAGAGAGAGAGAGACAAAATTATATTTTTGTCGATTTTTTATTCTTTCCTCAATCTTTCAACTAAATCAATAACCCATAAAAAAAAGTTGAGGTAATTTCCACTAATTTCCAAACGATTATGTCATCGTTTTACCGCAATTACGCGAGTATTTTTGTTGGAAATTTATTACTTTTTCGCGTTGATTAGTGTTATTTGAAACGTTCCGCTCGAAACGGTCGAGTAATCGGTCGACATTCCATAGTCAAGGGTAACGCTGGACTTTTGGGGGCGTAGAAATAGTTTATATGCTTTTAAAAAGTGGGAGGAGCAAATCTTTTCGAATATGGACGCCCATTGCTCGCGTGCTTCTCGAGGGGAGGAGGTGGAAGGGGTGTTATTCTTTTTCACAAAGTAAGCTCCTGGCGTGAGAGCATTGGGTAACTGAAGCAAGAGAAAACAAATATGGCGGCGGACTCTGCTAATTGTCAAAAGATTTGGAAATTAGTCCGACGTTTGAGACAACGTTCCCGAGATTATAGGGAAGCTATTAATTATTCAACATAAAGCCGACCTTTTCAAAGGCACTGTTTGATGCAAGCCAATATAAAAAGATTAGCAAAAAAAGACCTATTAAGTTGTTTGATTGTTGCTATTCCCTATATATGTGTATATATACAATATATTTATATATACAGTGTATATATCTTTCACTTTTTCTTTGATTCTATCCCCTTTTCCTCTCCCTTTCGTTCCTCTCTATACAAACAATAAACTCTATTCATTGTTGGACAATACCGATCTTATTAATTTATTACCGATATTACGTAATAATGTTAATAATGAGGGAGAGTGTAATGGATAGAATTCTATTTTCTCTTTCAAATGGAAGAAATTGATTAGTTTGTTCTAAACTTATTTTTAAGACAAAGTAGGTCTAATAAATCAAGACAGTCTATAATTTCATATTAAACTAAAGCCTATAAAAACTGGGAGATCTGCTACTTAAAGTTTTGTTTATGAAGATAAAATAGGAACTTTTCTATCTCTTTCCCGCTCTCGCTCTCTCTCACTCTTTCTCTACCAGCTATAGTACGTGGCCGACTTAGCGGGAGAATAAACGACTAATTAAAAACGTCGATTCCGTCACGCTGCATCTACCTTAAACGGCGTTCTACACGTGCAAATTACCAGCGTACCGGAACGCTTTTAGTAACGTGTCAGAAAAACGCTCTCGCTTTCGCTGTTCCAGAGAGGAAGTTGTATAGACGAAATTTGAATGTGGCGTCTCTGTATTGAAACATAAACGGCGTCTCTGTAGCAGCAGACAAAGACGATTAGATATGAAATTACATGTTATTGTTCTCTTTCTTTCTTTATATACATTTTACGATGAGAATGCGGGACATTCTATTATAATTGAGAGATATATATTTTTTATTATTAAAAAAAGAGTGCACACACATGCTCAGAGTAAATAAATAA